CCTAGTTGGATCCCCGGCTCCCACATGGTTCCCCCAAAGTACTGCCAGGACTGCCCTTGAGCACAGAGACAGGAGTAAGCCCCAAGCACCATCTGGTATACCCTAATGGCCTGTCCCAATGTTAACAACCCCTCCCAAGTAACACAATTTCTCCAAAACTGTTCAAGAGCTCACTATTTCCACTAACTTTTTAATAGTCTATCACCAGATAGTGAGAATTGTGGATTAAAAACCAACCACCACTACCTGCTGGGGCTAGAGAGATGGTTCAATGGGTCGAGTGTAGGCTTGTAAGCATGAGGCCAGGGTACCATTTTCAACACCACATTACGGGGTGCCATCCCGGCCACCAAGCACCACCTAAGCACAGAGCTAGAAACAGTATCCAAGTATCTCCAGTGTGGCCTAAAACCAAAACCACACAGGAACACAAACCAAACTGAACAACCCAGCGGGGGGAGAGTAAGTGACACGAGATTTTAGAAAAGAATGGTTTAGTTTAAATTTTAATTCTTTACCTGGGATGGCTGGGGTGGGAGCTTAAGCTAAACCTGGCTGTACTCAGGGATCATGCCTGCTGGTACTTGGGAGACCATATGCAGTAGCAGAGACTAAAACAGAGTTGGCCTCAAGCAAGGGAAGGGCCTAATAACCCCTGTACAATCTTTCTGCTCAAATAATACTTACAATATTGGGGGGGGGGTGAGGGGTGTAGGGAAGGAATATCTGGGTCACAGTCAGCTGAATCCCGGATTCTGGAGCTCTAGGGAGCATGTATGATGCTGGAGAAGGAACTGGGGTCAGTGGCATGTAAGGCAAGTGTCCTGTTCTATCTCTGTGGTTTCTTAAACAATTGTTGATCTTTTTGGCGGGTGGAGGGGAGATAGCACACCCAGCAGTGCTAAGCGCTTATTCCTGACTCTGGGCTCAGGGATCCCTCCTGGTGAGGTTCAGAGGAATCATATGTGGAGCCAAGGATAGAACCTGGTTGGCTACAAGCAAGGTAAGCACTCAACACTCTGTACTACCTCTATGGCCCATCAAACAATTCTTGTATGCATCATGGACACATACTTCTGAGTTTTCTCAATCTATTGGGTGCTTAATAAATCTGATAAACATAGAATTGTACCATTTGGAAAAAGCAGCATTTTTCAGACTCCATGTCCTTACATTAGAAAATCCCCCGCAGAAAATTGCATTTCATAAGTAACTGCTGCATCTTCCATGCCTGCTCTTCTTACCTGTATACTCGGGGGTAAAGTCACTTCTGTGGCCCGGCAGTGCTGGACGAGTCCCTGGGCCTCCTCCTGGGCTTTCAAATGCTCTGCCCAGGTGAAGGGGTGAGAAGAGGTGAAAAGGAGTCGGGTTTTAATACTCCAGTCCGCCGGTAACTCGGCACTTTCTGAGGAGGGGAGGTCAGATTCGGAAAATGATACACGTGGAGTCTTCTAGAAAACAAAGAATGAACACACAAGTTTGTTATGTGCCAAGTAAGGACCTTCAAGCTACAAACTGTTTCCTGCAGCCCAGATCACTATACAAACACACCAGGAGCATGCAAGAGCCAGGACAAAGGGTAGCAGACATAGTCTCCGGGAGTTGCAGATGTGATGTTGTTTCTAGTTTCGGGGGTGGGAGCTGTACCTGGAGGTACTCGGATTACTCCCAGTTCCATGCTTGAGGAACATGTGGTGCCAGGGACAAACCCTGGGCCTCCTGTATGCAAACCTGTATTCCTGCACACCTGCACTGTCTTTATTGGTTCTGTTTAGGGGTGACGGTGGAAGAGGCATAATTTCACTTGACAGGTTCTCAATGCTTTTAGTCGTAAGAGGCAGTGGGGTGGAGCTATTGTGCAGTGGGTAAGGTGCTTGCCTTGCATGCAATGACCTGGGTTCTATCCCCGGCAACCTATATGGTCTCTGAGCACCACCAGGAGTGATTCTTGAGTGCAGAGCCAGGAGTAATCGCTCAGCATTGCTGGGTGTAAACCCAAACAAAACAAAAAACAGGGATCTAAGCAACTGAATAGCAGGTAGGATATTGGCCTTGCATGTGGCCAAGCCAGGTTCTATCCCTGGCATCCTATATGGTCCCTTAGCACTGCCAAGAATGATCCCTGAGGGCAGAGTCAGGAGTACACCCTGGGGAGGTAGCTCAAATGGTCAAGTGCCTAACTTGTGTGAGGGCTCAAACTGTACTCAACCCTGCACTAATCCTCCACCCCCAAACAATGCTGGGGTTGTCCTTGGCTGCCCAGCAACTGGGCTGGGCTGTTAAAAAAAAAAGGGGGGGGGGGGCTGGACAGTACAGTGGGTAGGGTGTTTGCCTTGCACAAGGTTGACCTGGGTTTGATCCCTGGCAAACTCTAAGCCCTGACAGGAGTGATCCCTGGGCACCATTAGGAGTGGTTAACACCCTCTCTCCCCCCACAGCCATCAAAATAAGCAACAGTTCCTGACCTCAGAATTTTCTTTTCAGGCGCTGCATTGTCCTTTTAAGTGAATACTCTCTATTACAACAACTCGTGTAGATGATATACACGCACGAAATGGGGTACTACTTTCACGACATCTCACGAAGGTCATTTATTCAAGATGGTGAAACTGGCTCCTGGGGACCTCTTTGAGCCATTTCCCTTTAGGGCAAACTGCATCTGTTATCACAGGAGGAAGGACCTGGGGAATGGGATCAAGAGTGTGTGGTGGTAGTGGGGAGCGAAGAGTGAACAGGGTTCACTGTGTGAATGCCACATAGCGATTGTGGAGGTGATGGGGAGGATCTGGCTTGAAGATGACTGAAGAATGGAAGTTCAGAAGGCAGCTAAAGGGCTGGGGAGATGCTCAGAGGTCTGGAGAAGAGGCTTTGCAGGCGGCAGGGCCCCGTTTGATCCCAGTATAGAGCCAAGGGCAACCCCTGCGTACCATCACATGGTGTATGGTCCAAACACGGGCGAAAACCACACTAAAAAAACCCCAAACTACCAGAAGGGCTGGAGCTATACTCCAGCAGGTAGGGTGTTTGTTTGCCTTGCACACAGCCAACGGGGGGTTCCATCCCAGGTACCCCATAGGATCCCCCAGAGCCGCCAGGAGCAATCCCTGAGTGCAGAGGCAGGAGTAGCCCTGAGCACTGCCAGGTGTGGCCCCCAAACAAAAAAACAAAACAACCAGCTGAGTCTGGAGGGGGGCTCCACTTGAGTGATAAGCTGGGGGACTGGGCACCCACAGACGCCAAAAGGTCATGGCGCGGCGACAAACACTTCTGTAGCCCTCCCTGGTGCCATTTATAAAGATCCTGACACATGCCAGTCCCTGCCCCCGCCATTGATATTCCACCCCGGGGCAGAAGATCCCTTTGGGCCGGACATCAGTAAGGGGGGGGGGGCGGAGGGAGGGGGGAGGCCAACGACGGACACGACGCTGCCAATTTCGGAACAAACCAGCGGCCACTCCCGAGTGTTACCTGGGGGGAGTCCGGAGCGGCTATGTTCCCTTCCCACTGCAAGCCATTTTCTTGATCAGAATCTAAAAACTGAGGTGAGAAAAGAAATTAAAAAAAAAAAGTGGGTGTGGGTGAGAGGGACGCTCCGCACGCGCTCCTTGATGTTCGGGGTGGGCTTGAGTCTATCCCCGCGCCTAACTGGGCGCTCCGAGCCTGCCACCACCGCGGCGGGGACTCGCGCGACGCCCGGACACGGGAAGCCGCCGCTGCAAAGCGCGACGGGTCCTGAGGTGAGGCGACGGCACCTGAGGTGAGGCGACGGCATCCTCCCTCCCGCGCCCGGTTACCTGAGGGTCGCACGGGACGAGGCCGGGAGCGAGGGTCTGGCCACCCCCCGGAGCGGCCGCGGGAGCCGTCGGCGTATTCTTCCCCCCGCCCCAGCTAAGCGGCTTTGGGGGCGCCCCAGGGGAGCCCTCGGGTCCTCCCGCCACAGCCGAGGGGCGACCCCGGCGCCTCGGCTTCGCGTCGCGCCCATTTCATCCCCGGAACCGCCGCGGCCGTCCGGCGCCCACTCACCGGGCCCGGCGCCTCCTGCTGGCCGCGAGGCGGCCCGCCGTGGGGTTCGGGGGACTCGGGGGGTTCGGCGGCCGCCGGCGGCCGGTTGTCCAGGCGGGCGAAGGGGTTTCTGCGCGCCCCCGCCGGCCCGCCGCGCCCTCTGCCCGCCGCCGGGAAGGGGCGCAGCGGCAGCCCGGCCGCCAGAGCGGCGCGGCGGGGCGCGGGCTCCGGCCGCTCCCCGGGCGCCCAGGCGGCTCCCAGGCTCCGGCCTCTTTTCCGCCGCAGCCGCAACGTCTCCGGCGGCTTCTTGAAACTGGGCGAGTAGCCGGGCACCGAGAGGGCCATGACGCCCCACGGACAGCAGCGGCGGCGGCGAGCCAAGGCCCGGCCACGCTCGCCTGCCCGGCTAGCGCTTCCCGCGCGCGCCGGCTCCGCCCCCGGCCCGCCCCGCCGCGCGTGCGCGCAGGCCCGCCGCCAGGCCCCGCCCTCGCCCCCGCGCGCGCGTGCGCGCAGATCCGCCGCCGCTCGCCGTGCGCGGTGGACCGGCTGGGGCGCGCTGCTCTGGTGCCCCCTGCGCCCGGCGGGTTGGGCAGTGGTCCCGGGCTGCCACCGCCTGGCTCTGGGCAGCGAAGTCGCGGGGCTCTCTCCAAATCGGCGGGTGGGGTGGGGACGATGAGCCGAGGACAGGGATCCTGGGTGAAGGCAAACGTCACACGGGGGGGGGGGGGTAGGGGCGGGGTAGGGGATGGGGAGTTGTGGTCTGCGTGGTCTCCGGTGGGTCGCGGCGGGCGAGAGGGGCCCGGGTGGGTCAGCTTCCTCGCCAGCTCTGCCGTTGCCGCCGGCCAGACACCGACCGCTGCTGCAGGCTCCAGGGGAAACCCTGCACGAATGAACATGAGGGGCGGTGGGGGGGGGGGCAGTGAAGTGTCTCTATGACTTGGAGAGAGAGAGAGACTCAAATGATAACATTACCACAGCACAAGCTTAAGAAAGGAAGGTGTTGATACAAAAACATTATTTTGACAGTACAGCAAAGGTTACTGTAACAGCTTTAAATCCAGCAGCCGAGCTTTTGCTTGAAGGCGCAGTTTTTCTTCGAGGAAAGTTAAGAAGCAGATGCAAATGTGCAGAAACCGCTTTTTAAAAATGCTCCCAGCATAGTCCCTTTGGATGTTAGAACAGTCCTTTGACCATTTGCACAATAACTTTTTAAATGCTTTGAAATGCATCTTGTTTCAAAGAGCAGGAAATCATGCTGAAAAACCAAATAACTTGCTTTGATCTTCCTTAATTTGTCTGAACAATCTTCCAGGAAACTCTGGCTTCCTCTGCTGGACTGGGTCTATCCAACTGATGGCAGAGAAAGTTAAAATTGAACAACTTGCTTTTTCCTTGCTTGATTTTTCTGAACCACTTCCATGGAAACTTTGGCCTCATAGAGGGGAATGGGCTCATCCAACTGTGGCCTAAGGGAAGGAGGAAAAGATTGGAAAAAGGTCAAATTAAAGAATGCAGCACATGAGTAGCTGACAAGTGCCACAGTGCAAATCAAATGTTTCCAAATATAAAGATATGTTTCCAAATATAAAGTTAAGTAATGTTTCCAAATATAAAGTTAAGTTCAGGCGGGAGAGATAGTACAAAGAGGTAAGACACTTATTTGGCAACACCCATCCCATCCCTGGCACTGCATATAAACACCTGAGTACCACTAGGAATGACCTGTGAGGGCCAATGGATCTGCCTCCCTAAATAAAATAAAGTGGTTAAGTTCATGGAGGCCTTCTTCAAGTTTCAAAAAACAACAACAAACATCTCAACCTGTTTGTGGACAATTGGGTTCTGCTTTAAACACATTCTTTGGATTAATTCAAATTGCTCTGGGATGGCCTAGAGCGATAGTACAGCAGGTAGGGCATTTGCCTTGAACCCGGCTGACTCACGTTCGGCCCCAATCACCATTTCCAATCCTAAACCCCCTCAGGAGTGATCCCTGAGCACAGAGCCAGGAGTAATCTCTGAGCACAGCCGGTGTGGCCCCAAAACAAAACAAAACACCCAAACTTCTCTGGGAGTGATGAAGAGGAAAAGCAAAAGATTCAGGACCCCTAGAAATAGAGCAGGTGGCTATTAATGAACCATGATTATTCCAGGAAATATTTAGCTGCTCTTGGGTACCACATTTTGAGAAATCTTAAAGGGGGATTATTAAAACAAGAAATCGGTGTTCTGTGAAAGCTGAAACAAAACTTAGATCTGTTTGCCTCAGGTCCCTGTCACGGGAAAACAAGACAAATGTGTAGGTTTCTTACATACCTGAAAACACCAGCTGATAACTTCTCCATGACGTCCTTTAAGATACGTAGCTGGAAGAACCGTTAAGATGGTAATGCGAAAAAGCGAGAATTGGATGAAATCGTTTGATAAGCAGGGTGCTAGTCAGCTAGTCAGGTCCCTTGTATTCTTTTTTTTTTTTAATATTGTTCCTTTGTATTCTAAGTTTAGCAATGCTCTGACATTTGAGTTACAGACATCTGGTAAGCTTTCAAGAAGCGATAAGGGGGAACTGAACTGGTAAGAGTGTTGGTTAAGCTAAAACTGACACAGCAACAAAGAAGAAAACCAGCTGGAGGGCCCCACAGCTCCCAGAGAATGCTCCAGGTCCCAAACAGAGCCGATATCACCGAGAGGTCCCAGATGGGGTAGGTGCTGCCGTCCCACCTTTCTCCAGATGGAACCCCGGTGACCATGAGCTTCTACAAGCATAGCTCTGGCATGCGGGTACCAGGACATTTTTTCCGAACCACGTGGCTGCTTATGTGGCCACACGACATCTCCTTATATACAAAGTGATCAATGGAAAGTAAATCATCCAACATTTTTCACTGAAAATCAGGCTTAACTCTTTTGCAAATCACAACACCCGAAAGGAGAGAGAGAACAAAGGGGAATGCCCTGCCACAGAGGCTGGGTGGGATGGGGGGATGATGGGATCCGTGATGGTGGGAAATGGACACTGGTGGAGGGATGGTTATTTTAAATAAAGAAAGAAAGAAAAGAAAAAAATTGTAAGTCTACAACTGTACCACATGGTGTTTCACTAATAAAAATTTTTAAAAAACTTAAAAAAAAAGACAGCTAAAACTACTACTTTTTTGGTGGTGGTGGTGGGTGGGGGCTGGATCACACCCAGTGGTGCCTCAGGGCTTACTTCTAGCTCTGTGGTCATTCCTGGCAAGGCTCGGAAAACCATAATGGGTGCTAGAGATTCTATGCAAGCAACTACCTGTGAAAACAGCTGAAACTTGGAAGGACAAATGATGAAAGCAACAAGTGTAAGTAAGGACTGTTCAACAACCCAACCAGCATTACCATAAGTGGATTGTAACAGAATGGTGTCAAGTGTTCCTTTGAACACTAAGTGTGGTGTTTAGAGTCAAAAAATGTTTTAGAGGCTGGAGAAATAGTATGAGAGGTGCTTGCTTTGCATGACACTGCAGCTGCTGGAACCCTGGTTCAAACCCCCAGCACCACACACCACTTACTGTCTCCAAAAGTACTGCGAGAAGTAATCTCTGAGCAGAGTCACAACTAGTCCCTGAGCACCGCCAGATATGGCTCAATGCACATCCCCTACCCCTCCCAATTTTTTATTTGCTTTTTTTAACCAAATTATCTGCTTTTTTGGGTCACACCAGTGATGCTCAGGGGTTACTCCTAACTCTACACTCAGGAATCACTCCTAGTGGTGCTCGGGGAACCATATGGGATGCTGGGAATTGAACCTGGGTTGGCTGCATGCAAGACAAACGCCCTACCCGCTGTGCTATTGCTCCAGTCCCTTTCTTTTTGCTTTTTTGAGTCACACCTGGTGATGCACAGGGGTTACTCCTGGCTCTGCACTCAGGAATTACCCCTGACGGTGCTCAGGGGACCATATGGGATGCTGGGAATCGAACCCGGGTTGGTCGCGTGCAAGGCAAACGCCCTACCTGCTGTGCTATTGCTCTAGCCCCCCAGATTAAAATTTTAATATGGACACCTCATATTAAAGGTACACATCCACTGACTAAATGGGTAAAATGGGTGGATGTTTTTTTGTCACTGAGAATTAGAAAAAGGACACAACTACCCATATAATCAAACTATTAGGACTGAGTTACTAATACTGGAGAACTATAGCATACAAGACACAGCTGCAAGGAGGTCTCTACAGTAAAGCACAAGTAGTAATGAGTGTAAATAGATTCAGAGGAATTTGCTTTGGTTTGTTGGTCTAATTTGGGGGAGTTCTCATGAGAGAGGACACTATTTTCCAAACTGCCCCCAATGCTGAGCACCTGTCCAAATGCTGATGTGGCCTGAGAGACAGTAGATAGTTCCAGGTTAAGGCATTTGCCTGGCATGCAGCCAACCCAGGCTTGATCCCCCAGTACCACATCTGATCCCCCAAGCCCTGCCAAGAGTAAACCCTGAGCACTGCTGGATGTGCACCCCTCAAAACAAAAGTGTGCTAATTTTTATTGCAGTTGTTTTTGGTTTGGGGACACACCTGGAAGTGCTCAGGGCCTTCTCCTGGCTCTTTACTTGGGTCACACCTGGAAGGCTTTACGGCCAATATGGGGTGCTGGGGATCGAATCCAGGACAGCCACTGTAAGGCAAGTACCATGCGTGCTGTGCTATCTCTCTTGCCCCTCAGGAGACTGTAACACTTAAATAAGCTCACAGTACACTTGAAACACTTATTGGCTCCATGAAAGTCCACTTCTATATTATTTCATATTACAACCTTTAGGAATTTGATTAAAAAAGAATCCAAGGTAAATTTCCAGCCAGAAATTCAAGTTAGCAGAGAAAAGGATATAAAGGTATTTTCCCTGTTGTGCATTTGACAAATTCCACACTTCCTCATTAAGGAAAGCCACGGTTGCACCCTTCAGGAAAAGGCAATGGCTGTCTGGAGGATCCAGCTTGGAGAGAAGCACAAAGACAGGTTAATTACTGGTTAATTATGGAGAGTTTCTATAGCACAAACTCCACCTGCATTCCTAACCTGGAAAAAAAATAACTAAAAGGACAACAAAGCAAATAGCCAAACTACAAACATCAGAGACACTTCAATGTCTACTCAGTAGGTTATAATGCTTCCTTTCCAAATTCATGGTCCAAAAGGATGTCCAAATCAAGGCCCTGGTGATGCAGAGGTGGTATGTGTCTGTGCAAGAAATTCAGCCTGCAACTGATTGGTCATCTCCAAGGGGAAGTTCAGAATGTCAGGATAGGTTAACAGGGGGGAAGCTACAGTATTTGCACATTAACTACAAAAATAATATATATTATATTATGTTGTATATCATATATACATATATTTAGTTATCTTGAGAAAAATTTTTTTTTTTGCTTTTTGGGTCACACACAGCCCATGCTCAGGGGTTACTACTGGCTCTGCACTCAGGAATCACTCCTGGTAGTGCTTGGGGGACCATATGGGATGCTGGGAATCGAACCCAGGTCGACTGCGTGCAAGGCAAACACCATACCACTGTGCTATTGCTCCAGTCCCTATGTTGAGAAATTTTAATTAACTTCAGGAAACATTACATATACACATATACCTTCCAAATTGAAAAAGTGAAAAATTGTAATAATTTCACATCAACTATTTTGCTAACTATATGACAATAATACTGTTTGTCACCAAGAAAGAAATCCAATTTGAAATGCTATTAAAATACATAAAGGGTTAAAGAGTAGAGGTAAAGGGGCTTGCCTTGCATGAAGCTGACCCAGGTTCAATTCCCAGCACTCCATATGGTCCCCGAGAAGTGTCAGGAGTGATCCCTGAGTGCAAAGCTAGGAGTAAGCCCTGAGCACTGCAGGGTGTCACCCCAAAACAAAAACACAAATAAAAAAAGCTACATTTGGGGGAACTAGATCAACCCTGGTATTGCTTGCTCATAAGTGACCCAAAGGTGCTCAGGGGACCATATGCGTGCGGTGCTGGGGACTGAAATAGGGCTGGCCAGAACGGCTGCATGAAAGGCAACTAAGTGCCTTCACCTCCTATATTATCTCTCCACTCCATTTTGTTTAAAAATAATAATAATAGTATAGTGGGCTGGAGCAATAGTACAGTGGGTAGAGAGTACTTGCCTTACATGCGGCTGACTGGGGTTCAATCCCTGGTACCCCATATCATCCCGAGTCCTGCCAGGAGTGATCCGTGAGCATAGTGGCAGGAGTAAGCCCTGAACATAGCTGGATGTGGTCCCCAATCAAAACAAACAATAAAAAGAAAAGTATATAGGACCGGCAAGAGAGGATAGCAGGTAGGTCACTTGCCTAGCCTGCTATTAACTCAGGTTCGATTCCTGGCATCCCATATGGTCCCTGAGTTCTGCCAGGGATGACAGTCTGAGTGCAGAGGCAGGAGTAAGCCCTGAGTACCATGCAAATGTGGCCCCCAAACAAACCAGTAAAATAAAGAGTATAAATTCAGAATTGATACTACATTAACAGCATCCTGCCTCAAAAGAAGCATCACTCTGTTAATGAGGGGTTGGACAGACAGCATAGGGGTTAAGGGTCATGCTGGCATGCATCTGACCCCTCCATTCAATTGCTGCCACCACACAGACGCCCAAGCACCATGTGCGGAGCAGCCCTGGAAGCCCCGAGCATCCCAGGGTGGCCCTTGGGGGGTCCCCAACATCAAAGGGCCCTGAACCATCAACTGAGCTGTCGAATCATGGGAGGGCTCCCTCTCGCCCACTCCCAAACAAAGGTAGGTTAACTTCTTCTTTTTTAAGTTTTTAGGTCACACCTTGTCATGCTCAGGGGTTGCTTCTGGCTCTGCACTCAGGAATCTCTCCTGGCAGTGCTTAGGGGACCATATAGGATGCTGGGATTGAACCCAGGTCAGGTGCCTGCAAGGCAACCCCCTATTGCTCCAGCCCCTGACTCGGTGAGGCTTCTGTGTTGTTGCTGATACCTGCAGGTTCTCTTCTGTGGTCACCCAGTGCCCTCCGACGGCAAGAAGCGTGATGATGTCGTGCTTATGTGGGAGGTGCTTTGCCTTCGTGGCCGCGTCATCATCTCTGCTGTACAACCTCACTTACAGGGACGCGGTTTGAGAGAGAGAGAGGGAAAGAAAGATATTTTATGGCAATCTAACCAAAATTCATTCATCAAAATCTCTGAACTTTCCTAAGAATGAGTTGCCTGGGACATGGGGTGTTCCTGCTCTGCTTCCACAAGTCAGAGGCCTTGGGTGGGGCTCCGGAAGCTGCCAAAGAGGAGGTTTCAGGGCTAAATTGTCTCAAGGGCTTCCTAGAGAACCTGGGATCCCAGATTAGAAACCGTAGTGTCCAGCTTTATAGATGGGCTGGAAACATACGCAGTTTTTGTGTGCAGTTTCTCTCGCAGAATTGAAGCATGCAGGAGAAGTGCTCAGATGTTTCTGTTCTGCACCCCCAGACTCATTGTTTTTTTTTTTCTTTTTGGGTCACAACTGGTGATGCTCAGGGGTTACTCTTAGCTCTGTTCTCAGGGGTTCCTCCTGGCTTTGTTCTCAGGGATTACTCCTGGCTCTGCACTCAGGAATTAATTCCTGGCAGCGCTGAGAGGACTATATGAGATTCTGGGGATCCAACCTGGGTTGGCTGCATGCAAGGCAAACTGCCCACTGTACTATCGCTCTGACCCCTCCATAGCCATAGGAACCTGATACTGTACTTAATATTCTTGGAGGCTTTTTATTTTCAGAAAGTTAATGGTCTTACCACAGTACAGCCTACAATATCTGCTGTGTTGTGTCTGCCCAACCTTTAATGTTTTATTTCTAATGATACAAAGAGCATAGCGGGTAAGGCATTTGCCTTGTACGCGGCCGACCTGGCTGGCCCAGGTTCGATTCCTCTGCCCGTCTCGGAGAGCCCGGCAAGCTACCGAGAGTATCTCGCCTGCCCGGCAAAGCCTGGCAAGCTACCTGTGACATATTCGATATGCCAAATATAGTAATATCAAGTCTCACAATGGAGACGTTACTGGGCCCACTCAAGCAAATTGATGAACAACAGGAGGACAGTGCTACAGTGCTACAAAGACTGAGATTATTAGACTAGAAAATCACTGTCAGTTTCACAGTCCTCCCGTTGTTCACTGATTTGCTCAAACGGGCCCAGTAACGTCTCCATTGTATGAGACTTCTTGTTACTGTGTTTGGCATATCTAATACATCACGGGTAGCTTGCCAGGCTTTGCTGTGCGGTCGAAATACTCTCGGTAGCTTGCCGGGCTCTCCGAGAGGGGTGGAAGAATTGAACTCGGGTCGGCCGTGTCAGCTGCATACAAGGCAAACGCCCTACCTGCTGTGCTATCACTCCAGACCCTAGACCAGAAAATAATTTTATAGGAAGATTTTAAGTTCATCCCTACCCAACTTTCGGTGCAGTGACCTTTCAAAGACTAAATCCCCCCTCCCGTCCCCAAGATGGGATGAGGGGGAGAGCAGGTATGGCGCATGCCCTGCACGAGGCTGACCCAGGTTTGATCCTCAGCAACACACAGAATTCCCGGGGCCCCACCAGGTGTAAGATCTGAGCACCGCCGGGTGTGTCCGCCATCACCCCACAAAAATATATGCAGGAAGGAAAACTGATTGTGAGAAAAATGATACTGAATTATAGTGATAACTGTATAACTGTATAAACAACTCACTCATGTGTGTGCACGTGTATATAGAGTGAATTTTATGTAATATAAAAGTTACAACCTCAATACATTTTTTCTAAATTGTAAAAAAATCATAAAAAAATTAAATACTGAAATTCATTCAAATTGTAACAGAAATAAAGTGCAAAGTTTATTTTCAGTTAAAAACCGTATCATAGGGGTTGGAGCAATAGCACAGCGGGTAGGGTGTTTGCCTTGCACACGGCCGACCTGGGTTCGATTCCCAGCATCCCATATGGTTCCCTGAGCACCGCCAGGGGTAATTCCTGAGTGCAGAGCCAGGAGTAACCCCTGTGCATTGCTGGGTGTGACCCAAAAAGCAAAAAAAAAAACAAAAAAAAAAAAAACCCAACCAAAAACCATATCATAAAGTATATGAAAAATATGCTCTGTATTGATTATCATCAGGGAAATGCAAATCCAAGCAACAAAACAGCAGCTCATACCACAGAGACTAACTCACATCTCATCCACCAGTGTTAGTGTGGATATGGAGGGAAAAAGGAGCCTTATGGTGTGAATGTCAACTGGCCCAGCCTTTTGGGAAAACAATATGGGCACTACTCAAAAAGCTAGGAATTGACATTCTTATGACCCAGAAAGAAAACAAACAAACAAAAAAGACCAAAAAAAAAACCCCCACGATAATGCTAGTCAGAAATGATATTTGCACTCCTATGTTCATTGGAGTATAGTTACAACAGTCAAAATCTGGAAACAACTCAAGTGCCCAAGGACCGATGACTGGACAAACAAACTCTAGTATATAAATACAATGGGATAGTACTTGGTTACAAGAATAGATGAAATCATGCAGTTTACTGCTACATGGTTGTCTCTGGAGAGTATCATACTGAGTGAACTTGTCAGAAGTACAGGGAGAGACACAGAATGATCTCTCTTGTGTGAGGAATTATTAAAATAAACACAGGGGAATATAAAATGAATAGAGCTAGAAAGAGTCCCTGAGTCAAACCCCGGGAAAAAAAGTTTTAATAAAAGACACAATATAATATGATTTGGTGGTTATATATTTTTTCCTAGAAGCCTCTCTCTCTCTCTCTCTCTCTCTCTCTCTCTCTCTCTCTCTCTCACACACACACACACACACACACACACACACACACACACACAGTTGTAGGCTATGGATTCAGGCAAATACCCACCTCCAGCATCTAGGACGATATCTACCCCCAAGCCACCTGTTTCTTCTAAACAGCTTTCAGCAATATGGGCTTTCCCGTTAGAAACATCCACCACGCGGGCTGTGAAGGACAGAAAGTCAGTGATTATACTGTTTCCTATGTGATCCACACCGTTGAGATGGAGAAAAAGATTAAGAAAAGCAAAGGACTGGCCAGAACAATAGTACAACGGGGAGGGCACCTGCCTTGCACACGACTAACCTGGGCTTGATCCCCCAGCATCCCATATGGTCTTCTGAGCCTACCAGGAGTGATTCCCGAGCACACAGCCAGGAGTAAGCCATAAGCACTGCCGGGTGTGACCCAAAAAAACAAAAATAAAAACAAGACAAAAGAAAAAAAAATGGCTCTCTGGAAAGAAAGATGGCGGCCGCACGGGAGCCTTGTGGACAGCGGGTTCGAGCCGGGGTGGGCGGGAGTGGCAGGGACCTCATGGGAAGGGGGGCTTTGTGGGCCGTCCCCCATGCCCCACCGAGGTCGCCAGCTGCCCCCCACGAGTGGCTCTCCGGCGCGGCCACGACTCCAGGGCACAGAAACCAATCTCTTAACTAGCTAACTTTTAATAGAAATTCTTCCAGGGTCAATAAGTAAAATAGCAGAAATTCAAAACTGTGCGGCCGCTATTGCGGCCGCGCGACATCATTTTATTCTTAAACCAAGTTGTAGAAAGCAAATCATTTCACAACGCTGTTTCAGCATGTCTGATTGTGGGGGGTGGGTCATAAACTCTAAACAATAATTGTGCATCTTCTATCAAAACAATCTATCTAGTCAAAGTAGATAGAGTATTAACTAGAACTCAACTGCCTCACAGGAATTGGGAGGGGTGGGAGGTGGGGTTCTATTGGGGTTCGTGGTTAAAAATAAGTATTGATAAAGGGAAATGTGTTTGATATTTATATGACTGAGACCTAAACCCGAAAGCTCTGTAACTTTTCCCACAGTGATTCAATAAATAAATAAATTATAAAAAAAAAAAGAAGGAAAGGGAGAGAAAGGCAAAGGAGGAGCTGGAGAGATGGTACAGCAGGTTAAGCACTTGAACAGCAAGTGGTCAACCCCAATTCAAGTACCACCAGGAGTAATCCCTGAGCAGAGTCAGGCGTGAACCCTGAACACTGCTGGGTGTGGCCAAAACTACTCCACAACGGAAAAAAACAAATATTTGTTCTCTGAAATGAATTAAGTGGCTCCAACAATTTCTGAAGCCAAATGATTATTTTCCTTATTTAACTTAATACTGACAAGAAGTTATTTAAATTAAGAGATTCAATAAAACAAACAAATAAAAGAATGAAGCTTCGCTTGATAGTACAGCAGGTACGGTGTTTGCCTTGTACATGGCCGAGCAGGGTTTGATACCCAGCGTCTCTTATGGTTCCTTGAGCACCACGTAAGTCCAGAGCATCACCAGCTATGACCCCAAAAAGAAAATACAAACAAAAACAGCAACACCCCTGCTCCCTGGTCTTTTGTGGGTAATGAATTTCCACACTGCTATGCTGACTTGGAAAGCTATTCTCTACACTTACACAGATACAATGCCAGAACCCAGAATCCATAACCCACAGAAGCACCTGGATATTAAGACCAAAGACTAAAAGATCGATAAATTTCTTAGGTTCAAATTTAATGTTTGGAATAAAAAATTATGAATATAGGTTGTGCAATATGCCACTTATGCTGTTAAGAGAATTTAAAAACATTCTCTCAATCATAAAAGCACCCTCCCATGAATACTTTTAGTAGAGTTAGTGAAAATTAAGACAGTATGAATAAATTACTGCTTTAAAGTTGTTAGTGCTAGAGGGGCCGGAGGCATAGAACAGTGCCCTGCATGCAGTCAACCTGGGTTCAATCCCTGGCACCCCTTATGGTCCCCTGAACACTGTATGGTCCCTTGAACCCCGCTAGGGGTGATCCCTGAGTGCAGAGCCAAGAGTAAGCCCTGAGCACTGCTGGGTGTGACCCCAAAACCAATCAAGCAAAACAATTCTCCAAACACTAAAGTGCATGCTAACAGAACAACAAGATAATGAAAAAAATCTATATGGAATGGCTAGTGAATATAGACACTTATATTTCATTTTCCGCACCATTTAACACCTACACTTATTTATGTGAGAGGATACCTGTCAGAGCTGCTCAGATTTAAGCTGTAGTTCTTTTTGGGGGGGGCAGGAGGAGATTGAACCGGAGTTGGCCAAAGGCAAGGTACGCACCCTGCACACTGTATTATCTCTTGGGCCCAACAAAGTATAATTTTAAAGGCTCTTCTCTCCTTTCTTCCCTCCCTACCTTTCTTTCTTCCTTTCTGTACTTTTCTTTTGGTTTTGGTTTTTGTTTCTTGGGCAACACTCGGAGATGCTCAGGGGGTTACTCCTGCCTCTGCACTCAAAACTACTCCTGGGGGTGCCCAGAGGACCATATGGGATGCCGGGGATCCAGCCCAGGTTGGCAGCATGCAAGACAAATGCCAGTCCATCTTCCTTCCTGTTTTTGTCTGTGCTTAGGGCTTACTTCTGGCTCTGCACTCCTGACTCTGCACTTCTGGCGGGGCTCGGGGGACCATATGGGATGCCACAGATCACATCCAGATCAGCTGTGTGCAGGACAAGCGCCCGCCCAATGCACTATCTATCTCTCGAGCCCCTCAAGTTTGTCCAAGATTGTGCTGAGTGACGTCACTCACCTAGAGGAGGTCTGAATCTCTCCAGACACTGCTTGTCTTCGAGGCTGGATGCTGTTGAAATGACTCTGGCGCCTCTGTGCTGTGCCAGCTGGATAGCTATTGTACCAAGCGCCTGCACGAAGAAAACACAACAAAAGAGAGGTTACAGACAGGGCAGAACGCATTGCATTGATTTTCTAGGCTATTACAACATGGAGTGTTGTTTGGTTTGGGGGTCACACCCAGCTGTACTCAGGGCTCACTCCTGGTAGGGCTCAGGGAACCACAGGATTGAACCCAGCTCCAGTGCGTGCAAGGCAAGTGCCATGCCCCCTGGACTATCTCTCCAGCCCATGCTTTAGTGCATTTTTATTTTCATTGAAAAAAAATTTTTTTTTTGGTTTGCTTTTTTTTTTTTTTTGGCCACACCTGGCAATGCTCAGGGAATACTCCTGGCTCTGCACTCAGGAATCATGCCTGGCAGTGCTCGGGGGACAATATGGGATGCCAGAGATTGAACTCTGGTTGGCTGCCTACAAGGCAAACGCCCTCTCCGCTGTACTATTGCTCCGGCCCCCTTTTACTGTATTTTTATGTGACAAACTGCACAGAGCAGCGGGAGAGGGCAAACTTTTCTTTTTCCTGCTAATAGAAGGGGCATCCGCAAGCCGAGCTCCCTCTGCTCAGAGATCTGAGTCTCTCGGAGACATCCTGATGGAGAGCACCAGGTAAGAAAGAGGCTGAGACTTTCACCTCGATTGAAAGAGAAGACGCAGGGAAGCATTTCTTTTATTTTGGTGGGCTGGAGATGGGGCGATGGGGGTTTGATCACACGTAGCAGTGCTCAGGGCTTACTCCTGTCTCTGAGTGCAGGAATCGCTCCTTGCATGGCCTGAGGGGACCATAATGGGGCTGAGGGTGCAATGTGGGCCAGTTGCATGCAAGGCAAGTGCCTGACCCACCGGACTCTCTCCAACCCCCTGCGTCTGGTTGTCAGCAGGACCACAACACCTACACTCGCTCCGTCCATTATCAGCACACATTTCCCAGGTGAGAGGTGAGAGAGATAGTGCAGGGCTGTGTAGGCGCGGACTCCATCTCGCACGGTTCCGGCTGCTTCGGCCCAGGTGACTTTTTCTGGCTTGTGAACTGCCACCAGGGACAAGAGGAAATGGCCTGTTAGCAAGTTCCCTTTGGCCTGGGCGGGATCTACCCAGGTCTCCCTCACCTTGGCCAGGCCCACACCTCTCCTCCCTCTGCCCAGCTTCCTGCTCTCAGTCTTGCCTTTCAAACCTGCAGAGGAGGGGACAGTCTGTCCTCAACAGCAGGGCCAGTGGGCTAAAGGAGAGGGCCACGGGCACCCCAGCCAGAAGTGTGACCGCCGGTGACGATGCAGAGATCTAGTGGCTCTCCCATCCCCACTACAGTGGGCATTATCCCCGGGATATGTGTGAGCCACAACCCAAAGTGGGGTGCCGGGACGAGAGTCTGTGTGCAAGTTCCTCAAATCAAGGGGCGTGACCCTAGACGACCGAAAGGAGCATTGAATGCCCCCATCACTGCAACCAGAGAAGGCGGACAGAGAAGCATAAAAAGAATAGTGAAGTGGCAGGGAATATAAAGCACCCTACAGGGGGCTGGAGCAATAGGACAGCCTTGCACATAACCCACCTGGGTACCATCCCAGCATCTTATATGGTTGGTCCCTTGAGCCTGCCAGGAGTAACTCCTGAGCATCCTTGGGTGTCAGCCCCCCAACACCCTGCCAAAAAAAAATTACCCTTTCGGCTAGGGAGAGGACTCAAGGGTTGCAGCACATGCTTTGCACACGGGGCCCTGGGTTCGATCCCCGGCACTGATGGGACAAATCCTGGACACTTGGTGTGGCCAGGTGTGGCGCCCCCACATGGAGGGAGAAAGCCCAGAGAACTCTGAGAGAGAAGCTGATGCTGCCGGCTGCATGGTCCTTGCATGGACATTTACTGAGGCCCGGAAACCACAGCTGCCCTCCTTGGGCCTTCGTGTAAAGCATCTGCAACCGCATCTGCGTGCAACTTTCCCAGTATCCCTCAGTCCTGTTGGGATCAAACTGGCCTTGGTTTCCCCTGTCTGCCAAGTGTCCCTGTGCTGGGGGCTCTGGTCATCTGGAATTCCTCCTGGTGGGTGGCCATTCAAGGGGTGTATTTCTTCCCCTATTATTACCTTCTTTAAAGAAAAAAAAGAAAGGAAAGAAAGCCTTATCTCTCTAGTTTGCTCTTTGCAATGTTGGGGAGCAGACCCACTTGTTGTACAGACAACAAGTGCTCTGCCGCAGAGCTGGCTCCTGGCTGCCTTGTTAGGAATTCTTTTTTGGGGGGTGCAGAGACGGTACAGTGGGTAGGGTGTTTGCTTGCACAAAGCCAACCTGGGTTCAATCCCCGCTGGTACCTCCTATGGCCCCCCAAGCCCTACCAGGTGGGATCCCTGAGCACAGAGCCAGGAGTATCCCTGAGCACTGCTGGGTCTGGTACAAATAATTCTTTTATTTATTTATTTATTTATTTAAGGGAAAGGGGGATTTTGGGCCATGCTCTGCTATACTCAGATGTTATTCCTGGTGGTGCTCAGGGGACTATAGGCCATGCTGGGGATCCAGCCCTGGCTGGCCACATGCAAGGCAAGCGCCTTAACCCCTTGCACTGTCTCTCTAGCCCCTTTAGAAACTCTTTACATATCCTCAATGAGCTATTCACCTGTTCCTCTGTTATATCCGCAACTTTCTGGTTCTCTCTTTTCAATTTCTTTTAGTGACAGTTTAGAAAAACCGTGATTTTTTTCAAGACTTAAATAGCACCTTTACACACATCTCAGTTAAAATTCATCAATGACTTTTTACTGTACTTGAGTACTGCGTTGGCAAGACTCATTCACTTGTTTGTTTACTCGTTCATTCAGGGGGGTTGGGCCCCACCCAGCCATGCCTGGGGGCTGCTCCTGACTGCTTAGGAGTGATGCCTGGTGGTACTGGGGGGGGGGCGTGTGGCTCCAGGGATCATACCTGGACCACATGCAAGGCCAGAACTCTTGCACTATCTCACCTAATCTGGCACTTTCTCACTGGATCATCAGGCAGTGAAAACAGTTCCACTCTGTTTTTATGCTGCCTGCTGCAGGTGTTTTTCTTTTTTCTTTTTTTGAGAGTACAAGCAATGCTTCCTTTGGTCACATCACTTCCCTAGGATGCCACTTCAGTCTACCTGCTCTTTCAAGAACCTCTCTTATGGGACTGGATCAATAGTACAGTGGGCATCCCATATGATCTACTGTTCACAGCCAGGAGTGATCCCTGAATATAGCTGGTATGATCCAATAAGAAAAAAATAATTTGTTTTTTCTTTATGTGCGGTATGCTGGGGGTAGAACTCAGGCCTCAGGCAAGTAAAGCTGTGCTCTTGCATGGAGCTACATCCCTGGCTGAGAATTTGACCTTTGGTTCTACTTAATACTCATCAACAAAGCCAGAGCGATAGTACAGCAGGGAAGGTGCTTCCCTTGTACGTGGCTGACTCAGGTTCGATCCCTGGCACCCCATAAGGCCTCCCAAGCCCCACCAAAGTAATTCCTGAGTGCAGAGCCAGGAGTAAGCCCTAAGCACTGTCAGGGGTACCTCAGGGGTACCAAACAAAAAATGGGATCCAAAACAATAGTACAGCAGGTAGGACACTTGTTTTGCTTGCAGTCAAACCACGTTCAATCCCCTGCATCCCATATGGTCCCCAACCCCACCAGGAGTGTTACTCCTGGCTCTGCACTCAGGAATCTCTCCTTGTGGTGCTCAGGAACCATATGGGATTCCAGGGATCGAACTTGGGTTAGTCATGTGCAAGGCAAATGCCCTCCCCGCTATGCTATCGCTCTGGCTTCAGCCAGGTGTAGTTCCTGAGGGTTCCAGACTGAACTTTTAGAAGGTGTCAGGAGCTGGGGAGATGGTGCAGCAGGCTGGGAACAGGCTCTCTGTGTGGGAGGCCCAGGTTCAATCCCCAGAACCACATGGCGAGCACCCTTGCGAGATACCCAAGCTGCACGCCAGGTGTGGTACGTAAGCTTGAAAGACGGAAGACACTCGATCAACTTGGTGTTCGGTGCAGTGTGCTGGGGACTGAACCCCTGCTCAGCTACAGCTTTCCTGGCATGAAGGACACGGAGCTGTTTCTTGCCTGCTTCCCCTAGCTGTGTGTTCTGGGGTGACCGAGTGCGAGCATGGACTTGACACAGCCTAGCCTGCAGCCACTCGCGAGGGACCCTCAAGGTGCTTACAACCAAATGCCGGTGTCACTCCACCCCACCGCACCCTGGTGAGGATTGACCCGAGCTCCCAGTCCATCCCCGAGCCGCCACCTACCCAGGTAATGCTCGTGCACTCGGGCCACTTCACAGAGCCCAGCGTCTTCAGAATCCAGTGGCAAGATGCCTGGGACAGAAAACAGAGACTTTGAAGGAAATGACCCATCACTGAGTCTGTTCCTGATGGGAGGCCTGAGAGCTTCAGCCCCGGCCTCGCGCAGGGGAACGCTGCAGATTCTGGCACTTACTAGTGTGGGGATGGAAAAGGGGCGAGAGGCCCGGTTCTGTTCCCACCACACACTCGAGCCCCTCAGGAAGTCTTTTGCTTTTCAGTTTTTGGATAATATCTGGCGATGCTCAGGGCTTACTCCTGACTCTGCACTCTGGAATTACTCCTGGTGGTGCTCAGGGGACCCTGTGGGGTGCTGGGGATAGAACCTGGGTTGGCTGCATGCAAGGCAAACATCCTCCCCGCTGTACTCTCGCTTCAGCCCCCTCCATGCACTTTCTTTTTCTTCCTCTTGCCTCGCTTTTCAGCAACGGGAACAGGAAGGCCAGGGCTGAGTCTGAGTCTTGGGGGCTCAGGCGCTCCCCTGAGAAGTACCCATGGGGCCTAAAGACGCCTCACAACTGTGGGGCTGAGTTCACAGGCACCCGCACACAATGGCATGTGTGGTCCCCAACCAGGGCCATACATTTGCCAACTGCACAAGAAACTGCAGGTCAGGATGGTCTCACCCCCGATCCTGACACTCAGAGGAAACTCTTTAAAAAGTCAAATTTCAGCCCAGAGTGATAGTATAGCAGGTAGGGCACTTGCCTTGCACCCGGCCAACCTGGTTTCGATCCCTGGCATCCTGTATGGTCCCTGAGCTGTGGACAGATAGTAAAGTGGGTAGGGCATTTGCCTTGCACATGGCCGACCAGGTTTGATCCCTGGTATCCCACAGGATCCCCTGAGCCTCGTGCCAGAAGTGATCCCTGAATGCAGAGCCAGAAGTAAGCCCTGAGCACTGCTGATGTGACCCAAAAGACAAAAAATTAAAAAAACCATGGTCAACACTGATTTTACAAATACTTACATGTGTAGTTGTATCCTAGATAGTAAAGAAAATATTCATCAAATAGGACAGTGTCCTTTATTTTGAGGGTGCACATCTGGCAGTGCCTGGTGCTTAGGGGGATCACTCGGGTTGACCACATGCAAGGCCCTCCCCGCTGTACTATCTCCCTGACTGCTGTGATGGTAGTTTTTACATTATTTCTCTGGAAAATAGTCACAGGAAGGTATTCAGTCTCTGAAAACGGTTAGCCTACAGCATGCTTGACACTACACTGTTCATAGAGGCTCTAGGAAAATTTTCATGCTCTACCCACTAAACTATCTGTCCAGCCTGATTACTGTTTAAAAGCAAAACAAAACAATCAACTGAATGTTTCAGATCAACGTTGAGTTTTACAGGACTAGGAAGGACACTAGGTATGATGCAAGCTGCGTGTGCAGACTGGCGCTTCAGAGGGCTGCATCCTCTGCTGAAGAACAGACTCATCTTTCCTGCAGAGCCTTTAGTCTAGCCCAAGCTGGGGTCTGGCCAGGAAAGGGCTCTGAGGAGCCCCAACAACAACTGGGGCATCGCTACGGACTCCAGCGGCTCCCAGAGGGTGAGACACTACAGGGGGAGGCCAGTGTGTGTGTGTGTGTGTGTGTGTGTGTGTGTGTGTGGCGGGGGGGGGGGTTGTGTATCATTTCCTGCTTGTTTGCTTAAAGAAGGTAGATTCCCATGGGGGCACTGAGGGATTGCAGCTGAGTAGGTGGAGAACAGATAAGTCTGGGAACCCTCATCAGTGGTAGGTATATTCTGATGGCAAATGTGGAAAAAATGTAAATGTACTGCTATTTGTTTTTTTGGTTTGTTTTGACCACCTTTGGCTGTGCTCAGGGCTTACTCCTGGCGAGGGTTGGGGGACCCTATGGGATGCTGGAGATTCAACTAGCACTGGCCATGTGCAAAGCAAGCTCCTGACTGGCTGTACTATTGTATTGGGCCTGTTTTTCCTTTCTGGGGTGCAGGGGCGAGAACCCAGAGCCTCACATAGGCCATGCAAGTGAGCTAAACCTCTGAGCTAAACCCCTGGCAAGGGTTCTGCTACTGAGGAAGATGAAACCCCCAACTCTCTTCTCCATGGATATTCAAGAGCAAATCCCCAAACAGGGAAGTATTCCGATTAAGAACTTATGATGGGGCAGGGGAGATAGCACAGTGGGTAGAGCACTTGCCTTGCATGCATCTCACCTACGTTTGATCTCCTGCACCCACAGGGTCCCCTGCCAGGAGTAATCCGTGAGTGCAGAGCCCGGTGCACTGCTGGGTGTGGCTCAGGAAAACAAAAATCATGATCTAATTGTTAGTACTTATACAGGAGAAGCTGAGCATCAAGCAGCCATGAAAGAGAAACACGAGGGGGCTGGAGTGACAACACAGCGGGGAGGGTGTTTGCCTTCCACGTGGCTGATCGGGGTTCGATCTCCGGCATCCCATATGTTCCCCCGAGCACCCCCAGGAGTAATTCCTGTGCATCGCTGGGTGTGACCCAAAAAGTAAAGAAAAAAAAAAAAGAAACACATGAACTTACCGACTACCTCATCGTCTGGTTGCAAGAAAGAGACCTTGCTTCCAACTAAGAGAAGAGAAAGCCATCATTAGTATTCCAAGGTTATTCAATATAGTCATTTTATTTTTAAAGCTATGTGATTACAAAATGTCATTAACTTGGATCAAAAGTCAAGAACTAGAATAATGGGGCCGGAGCAATAGTACAGCGGGTAGGGTGGTTGCCTTGCACACAGCCGACCTGGGTTAGATCCCTGGCATCACATGGTCCCCCAAGAACCGCGAGGAGTAATTCCTGAGCGCAGAGCCAGGAGTGAACCCTGAGCACCACTGGAGGTGGCCAAAATACAAGAACCAACCAAACAAAAAAACGCACTCTAGAATATTCTTTTTTCTTGTGCATGGGGCGCTCACTCCTGACTGTGCCCAGGGCCACTGTTGTGGGTGCAGCCAGACCGGAGGCAAGTGCCTTAATCTCTGTACCACCTCTCCAGCCCCTAGAATATTCTGGGAGTTTCTAAAGAACGTGGGATAGAACCTTCAAATCTTTATTGCCAGGAGGCTGTCCTTTGGGAAAGGACAGTGCAGGAAAGTGTGTGTGTGTGTGGGGGGGGGGGGGGGGGGTCAATATCATGCCTTCCTTGCTTTCCCGCCTGCCTGCGGAGAGAGTGGTGGGCACCCAGGCGCTTAACGGCAAGTTCTAGAGAGAACTGGACTACTGAGCTGGAAGCGCATTCTCCTTGCTGAGCGGAGGGGAAGCGTCCAGGGTTGGGCCTTCCTGTGCAGTGACTTGGCTCCGCCACAGCATTGCGGGGCGCCTGCTGAGCCTGGCATTTCAGGGTGCTGCCACATGGGCGCTGCCCAACACACCCAGAGATCGGGGTGATTCCCACCCAGCCGACTGGAGGGCAGAAGGCATGCAGGCAGGCGGGGTGCTGGAACCTGGAAGTGAGTGTTCTTCTAGGTTGGTTGGCTTGCATGGGGGGCCAGAGCCAGCTGTGCTCAGGGGCGTACACCTTGCTCTGAGCTCCAGGACCATGTCTAGCAGGGCCTGGGGGACCTTCTGGGATGCCGGGGGTGAAACTTGGGTTGACCATATGCCAGGCAAGAGCACCCGCCCCGCGGCCCTACTGCCCTGCTTTGGAGTCCTCCTCCCCGTGTGCTCCTCCAGCGCTCTCCTGCTAGCGCGCCTGGCTGGGGCCCCCATGTTCTCCTCCCTCTGCTGCTGACCATCAGGGCCTGGCCTCTCACTGTCCTTCAGATAGTGGCACCACCAAGGCTTCCGGGATCCGTCCCGCTCTCCCCTTAGGTCTCCTCTCTCCCAGGCAAGCCCGGTGCTCTTTAATTTCACACACAACCTACATGCTCTAATGCGTGTGTGTTGGCCTCTTCCCTGACTACAAGCCCGCCCTGCACAGGGGCTTGATCTGCTTTATCCTCACAGACCCAGGACTTAGCGGGTGCATATGGACTGTGGAATGAGAGAGAGGAGAAAACTGGGGAGAGGGGTGTGAGTGGGGGGCTGGGGTTGTGGCCACACTCAGGGCTGACTCCTAGCTCTGCGCTCAGGTGTGGGGTCACTCCTGGAGGGCTTGGGGGCCCATATGTGAGGCTGGAATCGCATCAGATTGTCTGTGTGCAAGGGGCAAGTGCTTTCCCAGCCGAGTGCTATGGCTCCAGCCACCGCCCACCCCATTATTTTAAATGTTTTTTTCCCCTTTGGGGCCACACCTGGCAGAGTGCAGGGGGGCACAGGCAATGTGAGGGTTCTACCAGGCCCTGCACCCTCCCTCTCGGTTCCCCCACCCAGCTCTCCCATGCTCAATTTTAGGCTGATGCAACATTTAGCGAGAATGTACTCACTATTATATCCATTTTCAACCAAAGCCAATCTACACTGGGTAATTTGTGCTGGTTTACAAGTATCCCAAGTACCCCGTAGGCCAGGGAGTAATTCAGGGTGCAAGGCACTTGCCTGACCCTAGTTCAGCAACAGGGCCACCTATAGCCCCAGAGCCCACTAGGAGTGACCCCCGGGTGCTGCTGGGTGTGCCCTATCCACCCACCCAACCATCCACACAAACAGTGGACCCTCTCTCATTATGATTACTCATGGATTTAAGCACATGCCATCCAAATATTAGCTACAATAAACACTTCAACTATAAAATTATACATAGGTTCTACTTTTTTTTTTTTCTTTTTGGGTCACACCCGGCGATGCTCAGGGGTTACTCCTGGCTCTGCACTCAGGAATTACCCCCTGGCGGTGCTCAGGGGACCATATGGGATGCTGGGATTCGAACCTGGGTTGGCTGCGTGCAAGGCAAACACCCTACCCGCTGTGCTATCGCTCCAGTCCCAGGTTCTACTTTTTTAATGAAAAGGAAGACATCAATCTATAAATTTCATATCCAAAACACTGTGTATGTCCGAAAACATGTAGCAAAATATGATGTCAGAAAACATGTAGCAGTGCCTCCCCCTCCGCCCCCGCAAAAAAGCAGCAGGTGCAGGTGCAGCAGTGCCCTGCATGCGGCCAACCCGGGCATGTCCTCCCAGCCCCGTGCTGCCAGGAGTGATATCTGAGCACAGATCCAGGAACTGGGCCTGAGCACTGGGGTAAGTGTGGCCCCCAAGCCAAACAAAAGCAATTAGCGGTCATTCCATTTCATATCCCTTAGAAAATGCAGATATTCACATGGGCAAACTTACCATCTACTACAACCCCAGCGACTTCTCTCCCAACAGGAAAAAAGTCCTTCTCCATCTTCAATTCTGCGAGAAGCTAAATCATGACAAAGGCTGTTAATTTCAAGAAGTAAATCCTGGCCTCTTCTCAGATAAAAGGCAAACAATAGTAAAATAAATAAACATAAGAAGAAAAGGAGAAACCAAAGAGAAAGCAAACTGGATTAAATTTTTGGAGCCAGGACAAAGTAAATAACTTCACCGAACCAACTATGCCACCAATCTGCCTCAAAAAAGAAAAAAAAAAAGGCTGCGAGGTGGAGGATGACTCAGTAGTGAGCCCCTGCTGGCAGCCAGGAGGCTGGGAGTATGATCCCAGCACCACCCCATGAGCCCCACTGAGGTGATGTCATCAGAGCCCTGCCATTTGGAATCCTTGTGACCACAAGTGCACAATTTCTGGTCTGCCGTAACCAAGTGTATGTATGTATGTACAACCACCAATCTGTGCAACCACAGTTATTACAACAACAAAAATAAGCGGTGCATCAGAAGCCAATGAGCACAGACACCTGAAACTCTGCAGAGGAGCAAGAGTACTGGACATGACTTTGGGGCTCCTCAGCAACTCACTTCTTTTGTCTTTGGGTCACCCATGACAGCGCTCAGGAGCTTACTCCTGGCAGGCTCAGGGGACCCTATGGTGTGCCAGGGATCGAGCCCAGGTGGGCCAGGTGCAAGGCTAGTGCCTTCCCCACTATGACTCTGGGCCCCTCCCCAAGTCACTTCTCAGGTCGGGGTCATGTCCCAGGGCAGCTGAGCAAGGCCATAATCCCGTTAAAAATCCTCCGAAATGTGACCGTACAGAAGATATGCTTAGATTCTTAGACATTGTGGTGATACTGTAATTCAATTTAGTTACAGTATTGATGTTGTAATCCAATTTAGCTTAGTATAGTACTGATCTTTACAAAACTCAGTGAATAGGTCTGGGTTTACGGATCGTGGCACATGGAACCACACTGTATTATGTGTATTATGGATGCAGTTTTGTTTGCAGGGGGATTGGTGAGGCCATACCAGGTGGTACTCAGGGCTTACTCCTTGCTTTGGGTTCAAGGCTCACTCCTGGTGGAGCTTGAAGACCATATGGGGTATTGGGGATCGAACCTGGGTTGACTTCATGCAAGGCAAGGGCCTTAAGCTCTGTGCTATGTCTCTGGCCCAGCAAATACTGCATTTAACATCTGAACACTTTCTGTGCATTTCACAGTTACTAAAGAAAATTCAGTGGAGGGAAAATTAATGGGGGATATGTATATGTGTGTGTGTGTGTGTGTGTGTGAGAGAGAGAGAGAGAGAGAGAGAGAGAGAGAGAGAGAGAGAGAGAGAGAAAGGAGATATGACAGGAATACAGACTCATCTTTTCGTGTCATACCCAGTGGTACTCTGGCTATGCTCAGGAATCACTCCTTGGTAGTGCTTGAGGCACCATATGTGATGCCGGAAATTGAATCCCAGTCCAGTGAGCCAGCTGTGTGCAAGCCAAGAGGCCTACCACCTATACGATAGCTCCAGCCCCAAGAATACAAATCCTTATCTAAATTTATTTAAACCAAATTGTTTATGAAGTAGATAGTTTATAAATCAGTTAATAGAGCCAGAGAGAGAGCATAGTGCCTCGTTACGGCAGACCTAGATTTGATCCCCAGTCTCCCCATATGGTCCTCCAAACCCGCCAGGAGTGATCCCTGAATGCAGAGTCAGAAGTAAGCCCTGAGCAGCTTTGGGTGTAGCACAAGAACAAAACAAAACAAAATCAAACCAAAAACACAACCAAGAACAACAAATAGGTTAACAAAATCTATAATTTCTTATTTTTATAAAGGTAATTTCTCCCTAATTATAGGACTCAGTAATTATAAATGATTACATTTTGTAATATAAAAGAATTTAAAAAATATGATCATCTAGTATATAAATTATCTGACTTCATTCAGATTAACCATTTATCTTAATATAGAAATACATAAATTCACATTGAATTTTCCCCTACCAATTCTATTCCGTGGTGAATAAAAATAATTTCTTGGAACTCAGAAGTCAGTTGTCATTAGAACGTCTTTGCATTGCTGATATACTATGAATACTCATTAAACTTTGGACCCAAATAAAAACAACAATACCTTCGTATTAATCTGGCTCAGAGCACAGGCTTTTACTTGAAGTTTCACATGGTTATCTTCTGTAATTGGAAGATTTTCCTAAAACCAAAAGATAACAAAACAATTATACATTTCTTTGAGGATGTGTCTTTCTATTGTGAAAATTTTCATGCAAAACTGAACAAAATTAAACAGGCCCTAAATCTTAAGAGTTGGCTGAAAAAAAAACACTGCTAGTGATTTTGCACTTGTAACACCTTAACGGTTTATAATCAAGGAAGAATAAATGGAAGTTTGGGGCTGATTTTTTAGAAAGCCTGAGGGTAGATATTTTAAAATTACCCCCAGATGCTGACATGGATATAGGAAGCCATAAATGTAGGCTAACAGGAGTCAGAGCGATAGTTCAGTGGTTAAGGCACTAGACTTGGGCACTGCCCACCTGGGTTTGCTCTCCAGCACCACACGGGTTCTCTGAGCACTGCCAGGAGTGATCCCTGAGCACAGAGTTAGGAGTAATCCCTGTGCATCACCGGGTATGGCCCAAAACTCAAAGGTCCAAAACCCAAACCTAACACAGGATGACAAAACAGGACAGCAAATCCTGCACGGGGGTGGGGGTGGGGCAGGAGCAGCTTGGGTGAGGGGCACATCATCAGCATGTATGAACCATGGGTGAGTCCAGGACGACATGCCCCCCGTGAGCACTCTAGGTGCAGCCCCAGAGGCCCCTCGGCTGGGTGTGGGCAGGGGCACAGAGCCAGGCCCTGGCCTTGAACCATACAGTCCGGCTGGCTCACAAGCACGGGGACTGGCCCCCTGGTGCCCAGACGATCATTTGGGAGCCCCGCCCCCTTACCCACCACGCACTCTAAATATAATCTAAAGCACTGAATCTTCACATTAATGAGAAATATGCCTGTAGAAGATATCCTTGTATATATCTAGTATAATTGCCTTACTGCTTTGGAAATTTTCTCAATGCTTACTATTTGGGGGGGCTGGGGGTGTGCGGCCACAGCCAGCAGTGCTCAGGGCTGCCTCCTCTGTGCTCAGGGATCACTCTTGGCAGTGCTTGGGAGATCCTGCGTGGTGGCCGGGATGGATCTGGCATTGCCCATGTGTAAGGCCAGCAGCTGAATCCCAGGGGCAGCCACATGTAAGGCAACGTCCTAGACTCCTGTACTTTCTCTGGACCCTAATGTGCTCTACTGAGTGTGTGTGTGTGTGTGTGTGTGTGTGTGAGAGAGAGAGAGAGAGAGAGAGAGAGAGAGAGAGAGAGAGAGAGAGAGAGAGAGAGAAAGAGAATCCTCCCAAGCAGTGCCCAGGAGGCCCGAGGGCGCCTTCTGGTGATTCTCAGCTAACTGGGTTCAATGGAACAAATGCAAGGGTCTCAGGAAGCAGATGTGGGGCTCAGAGGAGACGCTCGAAGGCCTCCAGGGCAGTGCTTGGATACGCTCAGGGGACCATGCAGAGATTAGACCAGGGCTGGCTGCACGCAAGGCACGTGCCTAACCCCGTATGCTCTCTCTTGCCCTTAAAGAGAGTTTGTTGTTGGATTATTCTTAAACATCCCCTTATTATTATTTTTTGGGGGGGCTCTTTTTTTTGGGTCACACTCAGAGATGCTCAGGGGTTACTCCTGTCTCTGCACTAAGGAATTACTCCTGGCAGTGCTGGGGGACCATATAGGATGCTGGGGATCGAACCTGTGTCAGTCACGTGCCAGGCAAAGACCCTCCCCGTTGTGCTATCACTCCGGCCACGAACATCCCTTACTGACATTTCAGCATACCCCGTGAGATTCTGGGTTCACACCAGAAACTTAATGGAACACAATTATTCCACAACTAGATAGAGCTGCAATGACAAAAAGGAAAAAAATCACACTTAGGCACTCAATGTCATGTAACTATGATTAAATAACACTTCCGACAAAGAACCACTGCCAAAAAAAGACAGTATTCCTCTCAACTCCTGACATGTCCTTGAAATGAAATTTTCGAAAGAGCACAGGGGCTGGAGCAATAGAATAGGGGTTAAAGTGCTGCCTCATAAGCAAGTGACCCTGGTTCGAGCCCCAGTCTCACAAAAGCTCCTCTGAATCCCGGCTCTGGCCCAGTCCCTCGTCCCTGCCAACAAAACCCAAATCACTTAAGGCTTCTACACTGCCCCTTCCTACATTCCACCAAAGGAATTGCTGTGCTCTGTCCTACCTGACTGACACAAACACAGCATTCTTGGAGAATCTCTGTTGAAATCTCAGCTTTGATCAGGTTTTGTGATGCTATGAAGACACCGATCTCTACACCCAGCAGATCTGTGAGTTTTAATCCTGGTTACATAACCCAGAAGACCATTCTCACAAGAGGCAATGTGATCTGCCCCAGTGGTTGAATCCACTAGTCTGACTAAAGAGGCTCCAGACCTTCTCTGTTACTTTTAGAGATTTCAGGTAGTGGGCCAGAGTGATAGGATAACATGTGGGGCGCTTGCCTTGCACGCTGTGGATCTAGGATCCAGGTTCGATCGTTGTCATCCGATCGGGTCCCCTGAACACCACCAGGATTGTTTCCTAAGTGCAGAGCAGGAGTAAGCCTTGAACATTACTAGGTGTGACACCCCCCCCCAAACAAAAATAAACAAACAAAAACACTAAGGTGAAATTATCCTCCTGTGAAATACACAGAACACTTCTCTCTCTCTCTCTCTCTCTCTCTCTCTCTCTCTCTCTCATCTCCAAATTTAAGTGAACAATTTTGGTTTACCACAAACCTTAAAAAAAAATCACTAATATGCGATGATTCTACCATATGGGCTCAAAATAGCCTAAAACTTGATTGTCTGGGGCCAGAAAGATAGTACAGGGATTAAAGTGCTTACCTTGCAGGTACCAATGCCAGTTTGATTTGTGGCACGACACATGGTCCCCCAACCACTGCCAAGACCCCTAGCTCAGAGCCAGAAGTAGCTCCTGAGCACCACTAAGTACGGGCCCCAAACTCCCCATGCGCCCACCCCCCCCAAGAAAAACAACCCCCTCCACCCCTCTCTAGTTTATCTGGCAGTGCTCAGGGCACTCAGGGGTCAATTCTGGCAGGACTCTGCAAGGCAAGTATCTGGTCCACTGGACTAGTTCTCTGCAAGACCCTTCCCCAGTTTAAAATTTAAGCTATAAGTGAATGAGGTATTTTGCAAAGATCACAAACTGGTATGGAAAACAACACTTTTCTATCTCCCTTCATGATACGAAAGGATTTTCAGAACATGAATATGATCAGAAACCTCCATTTCTGTTGTGTTCAGAATCAGTTGGGTTAATTTTTCCTTTCTGGAGGCTGCTTGGGGTGTTTCTTGGCTCTGTTCTCCGGAGTGACCCCTGGAGGTTACCTTATGTGCTGCTGGTGCTCAGCCAGGGTTGGCGGGATTAACCCATGAACCCTCTTCTCCGCCCAGACTGGGCCAAGTTTACCACATATAAGACTATTATGGTTGTTTCCTGAATGTCTTTTGCAAGATCACAGGAGGAGTTGAAAGCAATAATGACAAGGAGCTGGAGTGACAGTACTTGCTGTGCACATGCTGACCCAGGTTTCCTGTGGACACAATCTCCCAAATCCCGCCAGGAGAAATCTCAGAGCACAGAGACAGTAGCAGCTGTCTCTGAGCAACAAATCCTGAGCACTGCTGAATGAGACCCAAAAACCGAAAAAAAAAAAAAAAAAGTTGGTGGTGGGGGCAGAGAGATAGTACAATGAATAGGGCATTTGCCTTGCACAAAAAAGACCCAGGTTCAAGCCCTTGGCACCACACTGGTCCCGGAGCCCACCAGGAGCAAGAAACACAGAGCCAGGAATAAGCCCTACACACCGCACAGCTGGGTGTGGCCCCCAAACCAAACCAGAACAACAATAACAAAATCCTCTTGTGCTGTCACTCTGGGCAGATTATGCAACACCAACCACTTCCCCAGGACACTAAAGATTAAAATGTAACTGTTTCACTTCAGAAAGAAAGAGGGGAGGGGGAGAAGAAGAGATGAGAAGCAATGGGTCAGGGGATTAAGGTACAGAGGTGGCCTTAAGGAATAACAAAGACAAATATCCAAACCACAGAGTCAACAACACTGAAACCAAGAGACACAAACTGTTAACAGCTGAACTGGCAGGAAGGCGCCTGCCAAGAGGGCAGGCTGGGGGGGCGGCCCCCCCCCCCCCCCCCCCCCCCCCCGCAGAGAAAAGCTGACCCTGATTGGTGGGATGGGTGCTGTAATCTATTGTATGTCTAAAACTCAATATGTAAATCACGATGTTATAATAGCATTTAAAGAAAAGTTTCACTTCAATCATGTAGCCACACTCAAAGGATCTCATAACCAATCACTCAAAAATGGAAGATAGACAACCACTGTTTAATGATGAGACGGTATTTCTTACCCTTTCTTGAAATTCAAATGTAATTTCTTCATTTGCAGAATTCTGTTGAAAATATAATCCTTTCATGGTCACCTAAGATAAAAACAGACATAAAATAAGTCAGTAAAATGCTTTCTACTGGGCCAGAGAGATAGTACAGAGGATAGGAAGCTTGCCTTACTCATAGCCAACCTGGGTTCAGTCCCCGGCATCCCATCTGGTCTCCCTAAGCGCTGTTAGGAGTAATTCCTGAATGCAGAACCAGTGGAAACCACTGAGCATCACCGGGTGTAGCCCAAATACAAAACAAAAATATGCTTTCTGGGGACCATAGAGGCAGTGCAGTGGGTAAGGTGCTTGCTAGGCTCACCGACATCTCTGGATAGACTCCTGGCACCACATATGGTCCCCTAGCCCTGCCAGGAGGGATCCGTGAGTGCAGAGCTGGGAGTAACCCCTGAGACTGCCAAGTGTAGCCCAATATCACCTACCCCAATAAAAAAAAATAAAGGTTGACAAATATCTTCCAGACCAAGTGAAAACAAAAAATGAAAAAACAGGAGAAAATAACAAATTAAATAAAATAAGGTAATCTTCAGAGGCCGGAGCAATAACACAGTGGGGAAGGTGTTTGCCTTACACACGGCCAAGCCAGATTCGATCTCCCACCCTGTCAGGACTAAGTCCTGAGCACTGCCAGATAGGCACAAAACAAAACAAAACAAAACAGGCTGAGGTGATAGTACAGTGGAGAGAGCATTTGCTTTGCACATGGCTGACCTGGGATCCCTGGCATCCCGTATGGTCACCTGAGCACTGCCAGGGGTAATTCCTGAGTGCAGAGTAACCCCTGAGCATCGCTGGGTGTGACCCAAGAAAAAACAACAACAACAGCAAAAACAAAACAACAACAATAACAAAACCAGTGCCTAGATCAGAAGTATAGAGCTTGCTGCACTTTGCCAAGCGAAGATGACCATGCCAGAGCAGAAAACAGCGACATGACGTATTCCGGAAGCTGCCCAACGCCTGTGCAGAGCCACCTGCCCTCAGGACACGCAAGACTCCATGGGACAGGCCAGAGGAGCTTTGTCAGCTGTTGACTCTGTGCCAGGGAATTCGGAAATTCCTTCCTGCCTCACTTCCTTTCACACCAACACGTCTGTGAGTTCCGCCCACGTGGTCCCTTCTTCTCATAATCTCGCATTCCCTTGTATGAATGCGCCACTAGATGACCATTCCTCTCTACACAAACGCCTGACTGTTCCCAGGTCGGGCTTTTACAAACTATCCTGTTAAAAACATTCTGAGCAAGCAGAGTGATAGTACAGTGGGGAGGGTGTTTGTCTTGCACATGGCCAATCCAGGTTCGATCCCCGGCATCTCATATAGTCCCTGCCCCACCTTCCCCTGCCACCAAGCACCTCCAGGTGTGATCCCTGAGTATGGCATCAGGAGTAAGTCCTGAGCACCGCTGGGTGTGGCCCCCAAACAAACAAAGAAAGGGGCACTTTCCGGAGCATACATTTTGGTAGGAGTATCCAGGCATTTATTTAATGGATAAGGAAACCTTTATTTAGTGGATAAGGAAGCCTTTGATGCTATGAAACCCCGGATCTCGCAACGCCGGCGAGGTCAGAGGTAGACCAACCACACTGTCCCAATTCTGAAGTCATTCCTTTTCACTGTGCCATTTAGTGGGTTTCTACTGAGCTGCTAATATCAGACACATCACTAGAAACTAGAATCCTTTGGCACAGGACTAATCATTCAGGACTTGTTTTTTATTTTTGCAGGATGCAGTGTATGCAAATGTCAGTGTGGGGAACTGGCCCAGAAATGATGAACGTTTCCGAGGCTCACATCAGCTCATTCAACCACGTGTGCTTCCTTCTGAGTGGAAACCTAGTATGACTGTGACGGGCTGCAAACCCCACACCCAGAATGCTGAACTGAACGGAACTTAGCGGAATCCATGCATTTTCCTATAGTTTGGGATGCTGGCCGCTTTCTAGACTACAATAACGAATGTGAACAGCTTACAGTAATCAATACACATTCAAGAGATACTGCAAGCAAATGAGGATCATGTGTCAGCACTCAAGATAATGGGCTGGGACAATAGTACTGGGGGTTGGGCGTCTGCCTTGCACACAGCCAATCTGAGTTCGATCCCCTGGCAGCCACTTTGGTCCCTGGACACCGCCAGGAGTGATCCCTGAGTGCAGAGTCAGGAGTAAGACCTGAGCATCACTAGGTGTGGCCCCAAAGCCAAAATAAATAAATAGATAAATAAAGTAAAACAGTTCGCATTAGAGCTGTTGATGCAGTTGGTTGTTTTTTTTTGCTGCTGGTGGTTTGGGGGCCACACCGGGCAGTGCTCAAAACTTACTCTTGGCGCTGTGCTCGAGGGTCACTCCTGGTGGGGACGGGGGGACCACATGGGATTCAACGGGGTGAGCCCTGTGCATGGCAAACACCTTGCCTTTGGACTATCTCTCCAGCGTGATGTAGCTGAATCACGCTGGCCACCGAGGAGGCTGCGCAGTAAGGATGAGCAACGGAGCTTTCCCTGTGACCTTCAGGATGACCTCTTCCAAATAGCATTCTGGCCCCAGGCCCGGGATAGCTTCCGCTCCCTTCCTCCCAGCACCCTTGTTCTTCCATCTGATCTTGTCGGGCTGAACTTCACCTCACACGTTCACCCCTCTCTCAGGCTCCCAGATGTTTGTGGATTCTCTGACACGCTGCTGATTTTTGACTCTGTGGATTCTGTTAAGTGAATAAAGCTCTAATCTGAACCTCTGCTCTGGAGCCAGGCCCAGAGACACTCATACAGCCCACGTGCTCCTGCTGCTTATCTGGCCTGACCCACAGCGCCTCAGCTGAGTCACGTACACACCAGAGGGCTTTCCCAGGGATAGCTTGGGACAAACACCAGCCGGTTAGCGCTAAATAAATCTTTGCTCCTACGCTGGGGCTCGGAGGGCTGCCTTCTGGAGAAGAGGAACAATCACATCACATATCAACACCCTGATGTCAAAGCACTTCCCACTTCCTAAGGGGGGAAGGAGGGAGAGATAGAGAGAGGCATGGAGGGAGGAAGGGAGAGAGAGGGGGAGAGGGGAGAGGGGGGAGAGAAAGAGAAGGAGAAAGAGAGCGAGTGTGAGAGAGAGGGAGGGAAGGAGAGGGAGGGGGAGAGAGAGGTAGAGAGAGAGGGAGAGAGAGAGAGCCTGACAAGAGAGGCAAGTAGGGGTGGGACAATGGTGGTGGGAAATGTACACTGGTGAAGGGACGGTTATTATAAGACTGAAACCCAATAATGAACAACTTTATAACTGAGATTCTCACTGATTTTCAATTAAAAAAAAAGAAAAACCTCAAACCCACAAAGCAAAGCACTTCCCACTGGTCTGCTGGGACTCACCGGCTTCTCTGCTGACTGATGCTGCAAACAGGCTTGTCTTCCAGATCGGCAGTCACATGCGCCCCGATTTCAAAGACCCTGCAGGACAGAGGCTTGTTAGGAATCAGGGCGTCGCCCAAAGCACATCCATTGCCGTGCCGGTATTTTTAGTTGGATGACTCTAAATAGTTCCTCCAAACAGGTGACAGTTGGCCTGACTGGTAGAAAACGGTGGAACAGCGAAACATGGAGAACAAAAATAACCTCCAATTAAGAGATGAAGAAAGCTGGGGGAGAGATATAGTGCAGCAGGCTGGGCGCTGACTTGGGTTTTACCTCTGGAACCCCAGATGGTCCCCAAGTCCCACCAAGAGGGATCCCCGAGAGCAGAGCCAGGGATAAGCCTTTTGCACAGTCAGGCATGATTCAAATAGAAAACACCTCCTGCCTCTCACAGGTAACTAAGGGCCAGAGAGGTGATTCAAGGTGCTGCACATGCACTTTGCTTGCAAGAGGCCTGGTTTGATGCCCAGTAACGCACGGTCTCCGGAGCACTGCCGGGAGAAGTTTCTTAAACACCGCCAGGTTGCCAGGTGTATACCACCCCCTCCACCAACAAACAAACAAAAAACAAACCAAACGAGGAAAGGGAAGCAGAAGTACTGCTTTTTACAAAAGTGGGCAGAAGAAAATGGGAGAAATAATATGTTTTGCAGACCTACAAAATGAATATTGCTTTACTTTGTTGGCTTTTGGGCCACACCCGGCGGTGCTCAGGGCTTAGTCCTGGCGATGCTGGGGGAGGGGGGGAACCCTGTGGGATGCTGGGGATTGAGCCCAGGGTGACAGTGTGCAAGGCAAGCGCCCTCTCCCGAGGTACAATGGCCCTGGATGCTTTTTTTTTCTTTTTGGGTCACACCTGGTGATGCTCAGGGGTTACTCCTGGCTCTGCACTCAGGAATTACTCAGGGCGGTGCTCAGGGGACCATATGGGATGCTGGGAATCGAACCCAGGTTGGCCTCATGCAAGGGAAATGCACTACCTGCTATGCTATGGCTCCAGCCCTTGGTTGCTGAGTTTTTAGCACTGAGGAAATAAGCAGAATGGACACTGTCCAAGGCCTGCTGGGCTGAGTGGGCACAGGCCACTGCCAGGTTCAATGGAACACGCAGTCCACAACTTAATGAGGTTTTTATTGAGTGTATGTATATTTGCACACGGGAAACAAAATATCTGAACAATCTACTAATGTGAATTAAAATGCGTGGTTTAATCCCACAAAATTGAGGATTATGTTCATTACCAATTTTTACAATGATCACACATTAAACCTACTTAAAAAAAAAAAGAAGCCGGCAAAACAAAAAACAAAGACAGTAATTTCAAGAGCAGAAAGGGGACTTTGCAGGCATGAAACACTAGACTGTGAATCTCACTTGCAGAAAAGCAGTTGCACACTGTGAAGCCAGGTGCAGTCCCCCAGCACCCCAAGTATATTCCACTTCCAGGAAACAGTTAATAAGAGTATTGATCTTTGAAGGGACTTCTACAGAAATCAATGGGAAGGCGGAGCGCATGGCCATCAACTTAGTTGTAAGAGCAACATGAACCCCACCGGCTCCTCTCCTGCTGCACTTAATCCCCCAAGGAGCTCATCTATTAATAATTGTAAAGAAAACCTCGATAGATCATTCCCTGTCTACACTTTCAGACCGAAAGGGATCTGGGTATCAGCTTGGGCCAACCGCAAATTCAACAGGTAGAGAACGACTCGTCTTCTCCAGAAACCTGACATTGTGGACGCTGCAGGGCAGACTCATCAAGGAAATCAGAGTCCCACAGAACTCCTTCCTCTGTACCGAGGGACAGGCCACATAGCTCCCTCTCCCTGTCTCATGTCCTGGCTCACCAGATCATTTTTGGGTTTGGGTTAGCCTATCATTGGTGCTAATGCCACAACGCCTCAGACCTGGGAGACGGCCCTAAGTCTAGTGAAAGGCTTCCTAAGAGAGCAATGAATGACTTCATATTAAAGTTTGGGGAGGGGCTAGTGTGACAGTATAGTGGGGAGGGCATTTGCCTTGCACAGGGCTGACCTGGGTTTGATCCCCGACATCCCGAGCACCGCCAGGAGTGATTCCTGAGTGCAGAGCCAGGAGTAACCCCTGAGCATTGCTAGGTATGATTCCAAAAGCCAAAAAATAGGCACAGCAGGTAAGGCACTTGCATCACATGCAGCCAACGAGGGCTTGATTCTCTGCATTCCATATGGCAGGAATGACCCCTGAGCACAAAGCCAGGAGCACAACCAAGCACAGCTGTATATAGCCCCTCCCCCCCAATAATACACAAGGGGCCAGAGAGACAGTAGAGCAAGTAGGAAGCTTGTCTTGCACACGGCCAACTTGAATGTGATCCCCGGCATCCCATACCATATGGTCCCCTGAGCACCACCAAAAGTAATTTCTGAGCACTGAGCCAGGAGTAACCCCATGAGCATCGCCAAGTGTGGCCGCCAAAACTCAACCTCCCCCAACAATACATAAATAAAATGAAACTGGGGAAGGGAGGGCAGATGCAGTGGTGCCAGGGGCTTCCCCATGCTGGGGCTCAAACCTGGAGCTCCGGCATGCTGAGACGCGTCCCGGCCGTTTCATCCAGCTCCTTCACTACATTTCTATCAAGAGGTGACTTTATTTTTATTTTTTTCTTTTTGGGTCACACCCGGCAATGCACATGGGTTACTCCTGGCTCTGCACTCAGGGATTACTCCTAGTGGTGCTCAGGGGACCATATGGGATGCTGGGAATCGAACCTGGGTTGGCCGCGTGCAAGGCAAACGCCCTACCCACTGTGCTATAGCTCCAGCCCCTCAAGAGGTGACTTTACATAAAACACTAACAATGTTCGTTCTTCCTTCCTTCCTTCCTTCCTTCCTTCCTTCCTTCCTTCCTTCCTCCCTCCCTCCCTTCCTTTCTTTCTGCGTCACACCTGGCGATGCACTGGGGTCACTCCTGGCTCTGCACTCAGGAATTACCCCTGGAGGTGCTCAGAGGACCATATGGGATGCTGGGAATCAAACCCGGGTAAGCTGCGTGCAAGGCAAACACCGTACCCACTGTGCTATCGCTTCAGCCCCATGTTCTTTTTTTAATTAGTGAGACTTTTCACACATACCCACATATCAGATATAGAAAGTATGTCAAACCACATACCCAAGTATTTGCTTTAAAAAAAAAAAATATATATATATATAGTCACAGGGCTGGAGCAGGTAGTACAGTAGGTAGGGGTATTTGCCTGGCACGTGACTGCCCCAAGTTTGATCCCTGGCATTCCTGTATGGTGCCGAGCCTGCCAGGAGTGATCTCTGAGTGCGGAGTCAGGTGTTAAGCCCCGAGCACTGCCAACCAAATCAAACAAACAAACAAAAATATATTGTCAGGCAGAGTGGGGGAAACTACTCAGAGGACTGGAGCACAATGCTCTGTAGGAAGAAGCCCTGGGCTCAGTCCACAGCATTGCAGGGTCCCCTGAGCACTGAGCCAGGAGTAGCCTCTGAGTAGTACTGTTGGGGAGAATTAAGAAACCAAAAGCCACAAAACATAAAAATAAAAATTCTCCCCTACCCGCAAAAGACCTCAAAATGATCAAACAAACAAACAAACAAACAAACAGAAACACCTGTTCAGAGATGGGGGTTGTAGCTCAGTGGCAGAGAGCTTGCCTTGCACGCCTGAGGCCCGGGTTTGATCCCTGACACCATGATCAGAGTGAGGAGCTAAAGTTTGATTCAAAGATCACCCTTTGCAGAACACAAGTCACATCGTCCTTACTGGACAGGTCATCTGTTCTGCTTCTTCAAGGAGGCGGAAACGACGAGGCCGTGACAGCAGGTAAGCATCTGGACCCTTATGTGGCCAGCAGTATCTAGAAACCTGAACTCTTGGGGCTAGAAGGACAGCACAGCGGGCAGGGTGTTTGTCTTGCACCTGGCTGCCCAGGGTTTGATCCCTGGCAACCCATATGGTACCCAGAGTCTGCCAGGACTGACACTTGGGCACTGCTGATTGTGGCCCCCAAACAGAACAACAGCAACAACAGAGAAATCTGCAGGCTCTAAGGTCGCTGTGATTTGCTGCCTGGCCATCAAGCCCCAGTCACTAGAAGGGGACAGGAGAAGGTGGCTCACACCTGCGACAGCATTGCTAAGGACTCTGGGAATGTTCTACTTGTATGTGAGTGAGTTAATACGGAGGGACACACATTAAGTTGCCTAATCCTTAGAGGGATTTTAAGAGGGGCCTGGACACACCAAGGCTTCCTAAAGGGAATTCAAGCATATGTTGGGGAGGTGGGCTGGGGATGAGATAATCACATTAAAGCCGCTTTGTTTAATGGGGCGAGGAGGGCATACCTGGAAGTACTCGGGGGTTACACCTAGCTCTGTGCTCAGGGATCACTCGTGGTGAGCTTGGGGAACTATTGCAGGGCCAGGGATTGAACCCAGGTCTGCTGTGTGCAAGGCAACAGCCTTACCTGCTGCACTATCGCCTGGGCCCCTAAAGCCTCTTTTAATGTGAACAATGCAGATTTCTACCCACATCCAGCCAAGCTTAGTGAATTAATGCATGTGTAGCATAACCCTGACATCTCAACTCAACCACAGATATAAAGAAAGGTGAAGACTTCGCAAAGTAAAGTGCTTCCCCCCTCATCTAGACCTTAGGCAGAAGCACAAAACAAACAAAAAAGGCATTTACTGAGAGATGTCAAATAGCTGCCCATCCGTGCTTCAAGGAATCTCCAGTTCATGTTTACCTAGAACTTCCCATGATGGACTCTTGAATTTCAAAGCACTGTAGCATTGTCCTCCCGTTGTTCATCGATTTGCTCGAGTGGGCCCAGTGACGTCTCCATTGTGAGACTTATTGTTACTGTGTCTGGCATATCGAATACGTCACGGGGAGCTTGCCAGGCTTTGCCGTATGTGCGGGCGAGATACTCTCGGTAGCTTGCCTGACTCTCCGAGAGGGGCAGAGGAATCGAACCTGGGCCGACCAGGTCGGCGGTGTGCAAGGCAAATGCCCTACCCACTGTGCTATCGCTCCAGCCTTTGAAAAAAAAAAAAAAGAATTGCGTGTGTCACTGCAAAAAACATATATCAAAAAAGTGCCTTTTGTAGAGGCAGACTGGTGGGTGGGAAGCAGATATGGGGAAGCACTGGTGATGGAAGTGGACACTGGTGACGGAACTGGTGTTGGAACATTGTACACCAGAAATTCAATCATGAAGAACTTTGTAATTTCATGGTGATCAAAGAAAAAAAATGTACGCGGGTCTGAGTGATGCACAGTGGGTAGGGTGCTTGCCTAGCACATGGCTGACCCTGGTTTCGATCCCTGGCATCCCATGTCCCCTGAGCATCACCAGGAGTAATTTCTGAGTAGCCCCTGGGCATTACTAGGTGTGGCCCCCCCAAAAAAACAAACAAAAACTAGGAAATGTGGTGTGTGTGTGTGTGTGTGTGTGTGTGTGTGTGTGTGTGTGTGCATATGATGCCAGGATGGAACTCAAACCCAGAACTTTGAACGTGTCAAACATGCACCTTACCACTGAGGCATATCCTTCTTCGAAATTTCTTTGAATGATTCTTGCAACTCCAAGAGAGCTGAACCTTTACTAGCCACTGATTCACACAGTACCTTTGACCTAGGGTCTCTATGTGGAGGCTCACCAGGAGAGGAGTTGCAGGAGGCAGACTGGGTGTTATTTCATTCTGCCAGTCTCCTGCTTGCATTGCTCCTCCAAGGTGGGAATGAGGAAACTCTCTCACCACAGTTCTGAGTGAGCATCCTCTGGCCCCAGCCCAGCCCTGGGGCACACAGTCAACAATGCACAGTCAATCAGAGTGATGAATATCAAGTGTCCTCCCCAAATGCTAGTAGCCTCATCACATAACCTGGGGCAAAGCCCTTATGATGAACCAATTGAGGGCCCTTCCAGAACCCTGACTGGCTTTCTCTTTCCTCCACTACTTTTAACCTGCGGGAGAGCAATTAGGACCTCCTCCTCTTGAATTCAGACCACTCTCTCCTCCAGTGCATTTTTTTGGGCCACTCCTGGCAGTGCTCAGGCCATGTAAGGCTGGCAGGCTTGGCTGGGTACAAGGCAAGTGCTCTACCTGCTGTACTCGTGCTCTGACAATGCATTTAACAGAGTTTCTCTACCAACTAGCATTCCTCACAATTTGTACATGCTTGTCATTTTAAGTTTCCAGTTCCCTATGGGGTCTTGAGAAGTGCTCTCTTGCTGCAGATGTCAAACACAATAGTAATGCAGGTGAAATATTTAATAAATGAGTCAATTGCCAGTAAATGAACACTCCAGAGAACTCCAAAGATGTCACTGATTATAAAATATAAATAATAGAAGAAAATGCTTTTGCGGAATGCATATTTTGGTACGACTGCACAGGTGTATGTGTTTTGACCTTGGGTTGGATCTGGAAAAACTCATATATTTGTCTTTGAAATAGTTTATGCCTAATAGTCTAAAACTTGCTCACAAGAGCAAGACGACATTCTTTTGTTTGTCTCTTTCTGGACCACATCTGGCGGTGCTCAGGGGTTACTCCTGGCTCTGTACTTAGGAATCACTCCTGGTTGAGCTAGGGGGACCATAAGGGATGCCGGGGATTGAACCTTGGTTGGCTGCCTTCCTGGCAGCCACTTATCCACTGTATGATCATTCCAGCCTAAGACATTCATTTTTAATCAACTAAAACAGATTTCAGGGACCAGAGAGATCATACAGTAGGTTTAAGTCCCAGCACCACATATAGTCCTCTGGGCAACGTGGTGTGGTTCCCAAACAAAACCTATAAAAATATGTTTCATCAGAAACTCCAAACACTATGTGATTCCTCGTCATGAACTTTAAGAATTTCTACACTTGGCCCAGAGTGATAGCATAGCTGAGAGGGTGTTTGCCAGGCACATGGCTGACTCAGGTTCGATCCCCGGCATCCCATATGGTCTCCTACAGACCTCGAGGAGTAATTCCTGAGTGTAGAGCCAGGAGTAATCCCCGAGCATCACTGGGAGTGACCCCCCGCCCCCAAATAATGTCTACAATTTCCCAGCCCCTCACAGGAGGTGCCATGAATAAATAGGGTGATGTTCTTAATGTCTCTGAGACAAACCCAGCAGCTGAAATATCTTAAGGTTCTAAATCCTCTTCTCAACCATAAGAGCTAGAATTCTGATCTGAATGCACAGCATGGAGAGGTAAAAAGCTACCCAAAGATTTCACTGTGACTGAAGGCAAATTGACCATGTATGGAGAACCCTTTCTTCCAAATCAGAGTATCTCATCCCTGCGTAAGCTGGAATGAAGGCATTCTGGAAGTGAAAGTTTAGATTTAAAAAAAAAATAGAGTAATTATTCTTAATTGCAGTTGTTGACTCATAGAATTCAGAAGATACAGTTCACACTACTATTGCTCAAATCTTAGGGACTCATTCTCTTATTCTGGGCCATTTCACTATAACCTTGTAATCCAAATTTATGAATTAGGGATATTGTTCCCTCAAAGGGTAGCTATAAGGATTATAAGTAAATATCACACTTCATGGTCCTGGAGAGACAGTATAGCAGTAAGCCGCTTGCTTTGCATGTGATGGATCCGGGTTTCATCTCTGGTACCTAATGAGCCCCGCCAGGTGTGATACTTGAGCATAAAACCAGGAGAAAGTCCTGAGCAGTGGCTGCAAATTCAGACCAAAAGAACTATACCTTTATGCAAAGCACTCAGTAGAGTACCTGACACAAAATAAGTGATCTAAATGTTGGCTATTTTCACTATTGCTGTATGTTGGGCAGAAAATCTCTAACATGATTCCAAAGTCCCTCCTACAGCGCAGTCAAGGGTCCCATCAGATGCCCATTAACACCTTTCCATCTCTGCAGCGGGATACTGGGTCCTTTGAATATGCAATGTGCAGAAGCAGTGCAGTCTGGCTAACTGCAAGACACCAGAAGTCTAACACCACCATTGAAGATTTAACATGGGGGAAAAAAGGGCCAAAGTTCAAACCCTAATATATAAATATATATTGAAATAATAATAGTCCAGGTATGCTGGATCAAATAAAACACACCATTGATTTCACGTGGTTTCTTTTCTTTAAAAAATATAGTGATAGTACAGCAATAGTACAGCAGGGAGAGTGTTTGCCTTGCATGCGGCCGACCCAGGTTCGATCCCTGGCATTCCATATAGTCCCCCGAGCACCTCCAGGAGTAACTCCTGAGTGCAAAGCCAGGAGGAACCCCTGAGAATCTCCAGGTGTGACCCCCCAAAAAAGCAAATATATATATATGTGTGTGTATTTATATATATACATACATATAGCTATGGGGGAAAGAAACAAAAACTCACATAACTTCACATTCAACATGTATCTGACAGAGATGATGAACCCAACTGCTCATAACATGCAGGAGAAGGTGCTGGGAGCTAAGAAGAGATGCAGAGGTTAGAGCCCATAGCACAGCGTTTGCCTTCCATAGGGCCAATCCGGGTTGGATCCTGGGCATCCCATATGGTCCCCCAGGCACCCTCCTGATCACAGAGCCAGGAGAAGTCCCGGAGTATCGCCAAGGGGACGCTCCCCCCGTTAACCCCCCCCCATCCGCGCCACAAATGGAGACGCAAATTCTCAGGCTGGAAAACCACTTGCCTCTTACAGGTGGATTTTAGTGGTGGCCCAGTGCATCCAGCGGCGCGAATGTGGCCTTAAGATCACATACCTGCCAACCTTCCTGGTTTAGACAACTGCACACCAAAAGAGAAAGGGAGAGAAAGGACGAAAATACAGAAAGAAACTCAAATCATAAGGATTAAAAAGAAGCAAGGCGTAAATCCAAGCCGGGAGATTCGGGGGAAGGGAATTTGCAGACGTTTTGACGTTTTGCTTCCAAAACGTGTGGAAGATGCACAGCCAGATTTAAAAAAAAAAAAGAAAGAAAAAGAAAAGAAAAAATGCCAGACCCAAACCCTAAAAGCACCAGGAAACCGTCAGTCCGATCAGGTCCTCCCCGCCCCTTCGCTTGGTCTCGGCTAAGCTAGGCCCCGGTCTAGGGGCTCTCGGTTCGACTGCGACACGAACCACCCTCCGCCCGGGGCTGGGCGCTTTTGTGAAGCGTCTCTCGATCTTTCGCCCACAGCCCGGTTTCAAAAGACACGCAACGCGTTTAAGGGCTCACCTGCCTGCCAGCAGCCCCAACGGCCTGCGCCTCCGCCGCCACCACCGCCACCTTCGAGCCCTTCTGCAGAGAGCCCGCCCTCGCTGGATCAGCGGCTGCTCCCATTGGTTGGGCCGCTCATCACTCTCAGGCTCTTTGGAGGCTGCGGAGGACGCCATAGCAACCGAGCCAGAACTACATTTCCCGGCATGCTCTGCTCAGAGGCGCTGGGCGGCTCCGTACCGGGGGCTACCAATCAATGGGCATAGTTGTATTTGCGGGGAAGGGTACCGCTTTATGCAAATTTCAGTTAAAGACCACATTCTTCCTTATTCCAAGCGTATCCCCCACCACCTGCACTGGATTGTGGCCCTGCCACATTATTGTCTCCATTCAAGCCTTTCTTAACTTGGTTTCATACATTCTTACTAGTGCCTACCAAGTCATCGAACAGAGGAATCGATCCAGCAGCATTAAATCTCTATGAGCCAGGCCAGAAACCTCGCCCACCAAAAGCTGCGGGTTGCACCCTCTAGGGGGCGTGCGAAGAAGAAGAAGAAGGAGAAGAAGAAAAAGAAAAAAGTCCTCCTCCCGCCTCCTTGGCGCTCGCTGATTGATAGGATCTGCTGTCATTCCATCCTCTTCCATTTGTTTTAAGAGGCCCGACCCCTCCTCCGCCTCCTTTGATGGGCGGGGCTTACAGTAGGGGGGCGATGAAGGGGACGAACGATTGGCGCGCGCATTGGACCCGCCCTCCGGTGGGCGGGGCCTGAGGGGTGGGCGGGCCGCAGGAGGCGGCGGCTGGAGATGAGGAGATAGGCGGGAGCGAGGGATCGAGGGAGGGAGCGCAGGAGGAATAAGGGGAACGGAGCCGAGGGGAGGGAGCGCAGCTTGGTTGCTCCGTAGTACGGCGGCCCGCGAGGGAGCACCCCGACCGGGCTCCGGGACGCGCGCGGGGAGGCGGGCGGGCCAGCGGGAGGGGATGGTGTGCGGGGCTGCGGCTCCTGCGTCCCTCCCCGCGCCGTGCGAGCTGCACTGATTTGTCCCCGGGGCGGCAGCGCGGACCCGCCTGGAGATGAGGTGAGGAGCTGAGGGGGGCCGGCCGGCGGCGGCGGCCTGGCCCCCGGGGGGTCGGCGCGATGGCCGCCCGGGGCGCGCGTCCCTCGGGCCGCCCTTCACCCTTGGCCGCGCGCCGGCCCCGCGCCCCACCATCCTCCCCCTCACCGTCCCCGGGGGGCGGCGGCGGCGGCCGTGCGGGCGGGCGGGCGCCGGGAGGGCCGGGGCGGCGCGGCGGGCCGTGGGGGTGGGGACCGCGGGACGGGCTGCGGGTGGAAGGGGCGTCGAACCTGGGCGGCCCGGGGCTGGGGGCTGGGGGGGTCCCCTCCTTCTCCAGGGGCAGCCTGAGGGGCGCGCTCGCTCCTTCCCGGGCTGACCTCGTTGCCCTCGGCCGACCGAGCGCGGCGGGTGAGCCAAGCCTCGCCTCCCCACCAGCCTCCTGGGGCTCCGGAGCTGCATCGCACCCCGGGCCTGGAGTCCCAGGCTCATCCTTATCCACCCCCCCCCCCACCCCAACCCTCCCTTTTTTTTTTAAATTATTATTTAAAAAAAAAAACCTCTCGGGTGCCTGCAGAAATCCCTTCCAGTGAAGGGCAGTCAATGCCGCGGGGTTGCAGTCGCCGCCGAGCGGGGCTGACTCTGATGGTATTCGGGGGCCGCGCGCGCCGGGCGGCTGCTCCGCGGCGCCTTCCCCTTTACGCACCGGCCCCGGCTGCTCGGCGTGGACCGCGGGGTGGCCGCGAACCCCGGCGGCTGCAGCCCGGATTCCCCGGGAAAAGGAAGCCCCGGAGGCACGGGGCTGCACCTTCCTCGACTTCGGTTTGCTCGGGGCTCAGAAAACAACTTCGTCGATTGCATTTCCTCTGGGCATCTTTTGTTGCAATTCCCCGACCCGAGACGCTGGGCTTGGCTGGGGCTCTTGAAGGAAGAAATTCGCCGAGCGGTTTCGCTGTTTGGTTGGAGCTGGAGAGTTATTTATTTATTTATTAAAAAAAAAAATCTTTGGATATCCACTAGAATAGAAAAGTTTTCCTTTTCGAAGTTTGCCTTCGCCAGTTGCTAATTTTGAAGGCAAGAACCAGCCTGACATTTCCCAGGTTTGCAGGGTCCCCGGGAGATGCGTTTCTTTCTTTGTGCTGATGGCTTTGGCATCCTGCTCTCGCTATTTGTGGGGTCAAAACCAGTACCAACCTTAGAAGCAGGCGCGGTAAAAAACAAGTAGGGACAATAAAAACAAATACCACACAGACCAGAGGCATGTGGGAAATCCCGGTTCTTGTCAAGGGGGTGGCAGTTTTCCTAATCCCTTTGAACACAAGCTCTGAGATCTCCTGGATTATGTGGACCGGAGCTGAGGGCAGGAAATGGACCAGAACCTGCAGCCTGCTGGTTTGTGTACTCTCTAGTTTCAAACACACAAACAGGAGGAATAGATCCATTTATTTTTAGATGGCTGAAGGTGTATAAGCTAGAATATCCCTCCCAGTTAAGATTTCTCTCTCTGGAAAATAGTTTTTTTTTTTAAAGTTTATTCGAGATAGTTGTTTTCCCAAGGATATTTGCTTATAAAAACATATGTTGTCTACATTTTTATTTTTAACATCCAGGAAAATATTTTTCTATAGATTTGTAAAGAAGTCAGGAACTTTGAAGTCCATCTAAATTGAGAAATGAGGGACTCTATAATGTTAGGGTGTTAAAATGGTGTTAAAACTACTTAAAGCTCTTTTTAAGCAACTCCTCTAAGAAATATTTCTGATAAGAGCTTTTTTCCCTTTTAGAATGTATTGGTTGAAATTGCTGAGGCACACAGTACCTTCACAAAACTCTTAATATTATTCTGCCTTAGTGAGAGAGGAAATGAACACATTTTTGATGTACTTTGGAACCCAGTGGATTGTTCAGATACTAAGCATTGTGAAATAGGGCATAAAATGAGTGGTAGCAAGTGAGTTCCCTGAAATGTTTGTCCTTTTTAGCTTTTTTTCCCCTTCAGTTTCCTTTTTTGCTCCAGTATTGGTAGTGGAACCCTGTCGGAGTTCATCTGTCCACCACATGCTTGGATTTGGAAAATGCAAATCCTTCGGAAGAGGTTAAGGAGGTGGTGCTGATATATTTCTTTACTCTTAATCTCCATCTTAATCTGCCTTGATGGTGAATAATAGTGACTTGGAGGGTTGAGTTTATTTTACTCAGTTTAAATTCCACTGCTGTAAAGATTTTTCACTTCTGAATGGTCGTTTCCTGTCTGAATGGCTTCACTTACTGATGAGATTTTCCAAGTCAGAGCACTTCTCAGTAGCACCTGAGATTTTGTTTTTATTTTTATTATTTTTTTGAGTCTTAGGGCCACACTCAGTGATACTTATGGGCTAATCCTGGCTCTGTGCTCAGGGGTGACCATGCTCATGGTCATGGCCATGCTCGGGGGGGGGGGGGGGGGGGGACACGACACGACATGTATAGTGCTTGGCATAGAATCTGGGTCGGCTGCAAGCAAGGCAAGTTCCTTTACACCCTGTACTCTGGCCCTGAGTTCTGTTTTTAAAGTACAGTTATTTTTTGGGGGGGGGGCTGGGGAGGTGACTCAGGGTTGGAGTACATGCTTTGCATGCTGGAGGCCAGAGTTTGATCCCTGACTGACCATGGTCGCCACCAAACAGGCAGGCATGATCCCCTGCTCCCCGCCCTTAGCACTGACCTGGGAGTAGCTTTTGAGCAGTGCTGGGTGTGGCCCCCAAACAGGAAAAAAGGATAAGGGAAAATGCAAGTCTTGGTCACCTCACCTGACTGTGGAGTGGTGTGAAATCAGTATTTCAACAAGCTGCCCAGGAATTTCTCCTGCACAGTCAAGTTGAGAAACTGCTGGCATTGTGCTTCCTTCTCCCCAGACATCTCCTCAGATCAGCATTTCAAGTGACAGTAAGCTTTATGATGGAGACTGCTAATGAAAAAAGAATCTTAACTATTACATAGGCAATTCACCTATAATAATATGTTCCTGTGGGTCCCAAGAATGAGGCTCCTTGTTCTGAGATACCTAGAATAATGCCTGGAGGAAGGTGATGATTTTTTTTTTTTTTTGGTTTGTTTTCTTTGTGGACCATACCCTGTTGTGCTTAGGGCTTTCTTCTGGCTCTCTGCTCAGGGATCATTCTTGGCAGATTCCAGGTACCTTCTGTGGTGCTGGGGATCAAACCTGGGTCAGCCACTTGCAAGACTAGCGCCTTTACTGCTGTACGGCTTCTCTTGCCCAATATATATTTGTATTTTTGGTTTGGGGCCATGTCCAGTGGTGGTCAAGGCTTATTCCTGGCTCTGCACTCAGGGATCATTCCTTGTGGGAATCAGGAGACTATAATGGGATGCTCAGGATCAGCCAGCCTCATGCAAGGCAAGCTCCCTGCCTGCTGAGTCCTCAAAGACATGTGAAATAATGAATTAATCAGAGGCCCCATTTTCAAGCAGACTTTACTGATCTTCCCACTGATTTTATGAATCGGGGGCCACCAAGGCTGTAGTCCCATCCTTACTGTCGGTTTGGTTGGCTCTGGAAGGAGAGCACTTCCCAAGCATTTAGAATGCTCAGCTGATGAGCTGCAAAGAAGGCGGCCAGAGAGATGTTTACCTAGAGACTCCGAATGTAAATTAAGCCTCAGGATAGGAGCAAATTACTGTTATCACTGTCTCAGAATAACATTTTGTAAACAAACGATGGCAAACCCAACATAATGTCATGAAATTGGTTTCCCCAAATACAGAAAATTGGTCTGTTTTCTGTCTTCATACTAATAACATAGGACCTCATTTCCTATCCTCCTGTTCCAGTATAGGGTGCTTACTAGTAGCTGCTTCTCTTATTTAGTTGAGGGGACCAGATGGTTAACTGCAAGCCCTAGGGTATGGGTTTGACCTCCCAACAAAGCCTGTGACTGCCCTTGTAATCTGCCTCTTAAATTTTATCTGCCTATTAAAATGAAAACACACACACACACACACACACACACACACACACTCACCTGGGTGGTGTATTGGGTCTCAACTGCCAGTGCTCTGAGCCTACTCCTGACTTTGTGCTCAGAGATCACTCCTGACAGTACTTGGGGACCAATGTGGTACCGGATTGAGCTGGGGTCAGCTGTGTGCCTTAAATTTTTTTGGGGGGGGGCATACCCCGCTATAATCAGGGCTTGATGGAGCTCAGGCATTACTCCTGGTGATGCTCCGGGGGACCAAATGGGATGCTGGAGATTGAACCTGGGTCTACCATGTGCAAAGCAAGCACCCTACTGGCTTTACTAGCTCTCCGGCCCCACTTTTAAAAATTAAAATTTTTTTCTTCTTTTAAAAAATTTGGTTAGCCGTTAGCTGTGTGCCTGAACCCCTCTACCGTTTCTCTCGTTTTAACCAGCCTTAAGGTCAGCAAGAGCTTCAACTGCTGTACTTTCTCTCTAGCCTTAATTGGCTCGGTTTTAAGCTGGTCTCCCAAACTGTTGTGTGGGGCAGGTCCTGGTGCTTCAGGGCTGCCAGGAATGGAATTGGGAGAGAGATGATGAGAGATTCATCTCAATGAGAAAGTGAAAATGGCAAGGTCCTACGAGTTGGCACTTATTTATGTATTCTTTAAATAATCTTTGGAGGTTAAAATGGAAGCGCCCTCTCCTGCTTACAGGAGGGTTTTGCTTTCGCACCCCTGGCCAGCCTCCTGACCCATTTCTGCCCATGATGATCATGTTCATTCTTGCATTTTGTTGGTAGGCCCTTTCGCTGGCTTCCAAGTGGTGGCAGCCATTTGCCAGAAATGGGTATGACAGGTCTTCTGGCTCCTAGTGGCCCGCCTGAACCAAACCAGTAAGGAGACTCAGGATAAAAGCAGAGACAAGATGGCATTGGGGCCCTCTAAGCCTGTGTCTGTGGCACTCATTCTCACCCAGGTGAACTTCCTGAGCAGTTTTACTGCTCTGAGCAGGGCAGGGTGTTATGATACAAAGCCTGGTGTAAGCAAACACCCTCATGTCTCTACA